TAGTCGCGTCTCGCGTCTCGCGACTCTCCAGCCAACAGTGAGTGACAGCTCTATAGAGTTCGTCGGGTTGGTAGCATTGTACGGATTTCCCTTCTTCTACCCTGTTCGCTCTTTCTCTGTTGCGTGGTCAGTTTAGTCACGGCTCTCTTGCGAACTCGTATGAAAAGTCTCGTTCGAGACGTTTAGTACCGTCCGTCGAGTCGTGTACGCGTCGAGCTTGATTATTTTCTTGTCGCGGACGTTTTAGGCTACCCTGTTCCCGCCGTCTACAGCTCCCACTCGCCAGTCAATTACGCTGCATTCCGTTTTTCTTCTCTACAGAGAAGAAAACCGTCGCGATGCGAACTAGTTCCTCCCCCTACTCGTCGATTAAGGCTGAATTTCTTGTTCACCTGTAATCGTTCTAAACGTGCCGCGATGTAATTACTAAAAGATCCTAAGCGGTCTGTTATCGGGACACAATCGAGTCCCACGCGAACCCCGCAAGAACGTACAAGATCGCCAATTCCAATGGCTGGGGATACGCAATGCACGGCAATGGTTATTGCTAGCCTAGGAAAAAAGCCGGGTTCAATTAGTTCGCCAAGAGCGAGTCTCTATTTGGAGATAGGGAACAAAGTTTTGCCACTCGGTACCCGCGTGTTCCATCTCCTTCGTTCTCGTTCTCGTTTTTCCTCTCGGTACTTCGTTTGCTTCTTCTTCTTCTTCTTCTTCTTCTTACCCTTCGTGATTTTTCACCGTGTATTTGCGGCCTACGTGCGGATACAGCCACGACACGCACGCGCTCTCTGAAAGGGAACAAGCCTGGAAGAAGGAAACGGCTAGCAGGAAGAAGAAGGACGGTCGGCCGGATGAACGGAAAAACGACAAAGACGAGAGGCGAGTCCGCGAGAGGTGGCAAACACGCGCATATTTATTTATGCAAACGGAATACGCATCCAGCTAATTGTGCGGTCGCACACCCGCGGTGACTCACGTGACGGCTCCTCTACCCAGCCATCGTTCCTGCATGTCAATTCGCGTGACAAAGGATCATGGTGGTTGTGTCCACCCACGAAAATTTCCAGTTCGCCCTCGAGCTCTCTCCTTCTCTCGTAGATAGGACGGTCTTACAGTTCGCGTGTTCGGATGGTCGCGCAATTAGGCACTCTTACGTGCAAATGGCAGGAATTTTAAATGCGTCAGCCTACAAGCCCGATAAAAACTGTGTAACGTAAACGAGGCAACACCCGCGTTTCCTGGTACTGCATTCGGATACGTTTGTTCCCCGGACGAATCTCGATGTTGCTGACGGACAGGAAGCGGGTGCCGAAGTCGAACGAAGTCGGCTGCAGTGGACGAGGACTGTCAGAGTCCATCAGAGAGTCGGCGAGCCGGGAATACCGAGGATGGCTACCCAGCTTACTCGAGCAACAGCTCTATCTGTCGAGCAGCAGCGGGCAAAAACCGGCGGCCTGCGTGGTCGCACGCACGAGAAGCGGAAAGCACTCGGACGAAGCGACGCGACGGCGGCGGGGGGTTGAGAGTCGAGTTACGGAGAAAAACTCCCTCTGTCGCGTTCGCCAGGGTGGCGGCACCGAGCGAGATTAGGGAGCGAATTTGCATTCGTACAGTAAACATGGTTAACTCGATATTACAAAATGGATTGATTTGTTGCTTTGCTTGATTAATCAGAGAAACGGGTGATAGCGCGAATATCAACAGGCTCGTTAACGAAATAAATCGCGAGCTTTCTCGACCCGCTTAGAGACGATCGCTCCAGTTCATTTCGAGAAGGATTATACGACCGCTCAAAGGAAGATACTACTGCCTTCGAGGATGATTTAGTAACCCAACGAAGTGAAGGATAATCGTATGAAATATCGTTGTGTCGTGTACACGGATGGTGAATAGTTGGGTGTACGCGCGGCATCCTTCACCTCGGGGAATGCCAGACCTTTCGGTAAGCTTAACGCGCGAGAATTTCATACAGTATTAAGGAAGATGCTTTTTCTCAACAAAGAAAACACCGAAAGCCGACCCTATTAGTTGCTCGAATCACTAGTATCAATCAACGAGCGAGAACGTTGTCTCGTCTTCTAGAAGTTTCTACTTAAGACATCATCAAAGATTAAAACAAATCTTTCATCTTGGACCTGCTAGTTGGTCTACTTGATAAATAGCGTTACTGCTAAATAACTAGCGAGCCCAAAATGAAATTGGATCAATCGAAGGGAAGAAAGTTACCGTTCTTATCAACTCTTGGATTGAACTATAAACTTTTCGATCGTTCAATCGAAACGGACGTTATCAAATATTCTGCACAGCACGGAGAAAATTTTCAAACGAACTATATTTAAGTGTAGCAGAGTATCGCGAGCCTTGTAAACCGGTCTAGCAATTACGCGGAAGATCGATTACAGCCTCGTAATGGGCCCTTCTTAAGCGGCGAAGACCTATGAATCTGTACGGACGAAAGTTCATAATTTCCCGTAGTAATTGCTTCATACACGCGAATGCCTACCGAGAAACTCAATTTTTCGTTCGAGATCAGACTCGCGTGCATCGATTATTCCTTCACCTTTTTCCATACAGTGGAAGTCCATTTATTTGAACATGTTAAGGAAAAAAGATGGCTTCGATAATTGGGATGTTCGGATAATAGGAGCTCGCTGATTGCCACGAGTAATTATTTTTTCATTTCAAATAATAATCCAAAGTTCCAGCAAAGTGGTGTATCGTAATCGCCACGCGAACCTCGACAATTCTAGACTCGGTTCGTCGAGTCATTCGCGATTTACCGCAATAACTCGGAGCAGTTGGACAGTTTGTAGTTGTAAGGGACGAGGTGTTAGGTCGTGACACCTTGGTATCCGTGCGAAATCGACAGCACTTTCGACAATGTTGCAAGAGAACGACAGTGACGAGAAAGGCGGAACCCCGTCGTCGACGAAAAGACTAAAAGACTAAAAGGTAGCGGTTGTTGGTGTTCAAAGGCAGAGGCGCGAGCATGCTGAGAGCCTTCCAAGGCAGCGTACTTTATAACCGGTGTAGACAGCCACCGCACGTATAAACGATTCTCTACCTCTACCTTTACCGCGATCGTACTACGTACCTTCGTACCTTCAACATTTGCTTGCTCCAGCTCGTTCCTGTTGCTTCGAGAAACTTGGGAGACCCCATTTTACTTTCAACCGACGTCCGATCACGCGGATGACATTAGTCAAATACTTATTTCTTAAAAAATAAGTTAATCCCCTTATCTACTCGATCATTTACACTCGATTACATTGTTATTCGCTTTTTAGAAATTTAAGGAGAACCGTCCGGTGCTTTCCATTGTTTTCTCGCAGAAAGGGGTAAGCTGGATTTTTCTGTGTGCAAATCAGAACGGGGAAACTCATTGGAAATTCGATAGAGTGTCTGTTCTTTCCATTTATCGAGTATCTACCTTTGTAACCAGAAGGAGGTTTTTGAAAACGCGAGAACCCGATTCCGTGGCAAAAGGGGTGCAAGGTATTTCGTTCGTTGTGCACTGGTATTCAGAGAGAGAGAGAGAGAAGGAAAGGGAGAGCTATGCACGTTGCACGGCCTTTTCGAAGCAAACCCACGGCGGATTGTATTCCGTATCCAGCCCGATTGAAATCGATATTCCTGGCAAGGTCGGCGTGCAACAAAACCAGCTTGAACAATGCACCGGCTGGTATACATTCGCCGAGCACGGGAACAACAGGTAAAACTGCTCGCGATTTAATACACCCCTTTCTCTCTCTCTATCTTTCTCTTTCTTTCTTCCTGCCGTCTCACTTCCATCCTTTGAATTGGGAATCGAAGAAAAACGTGCCACTAAAATTGACGTATAATCGATGAACGAACGGTAAAGAATTGTTGAAAAATTTTCGTCTGCTGTCGCCAATGATGTAGCGGCTTAAGAACGCTTGGGGACGAGTCGGGATTATTCGATAGCCGAGGTGAGATAAGAGGGTGCAATTTAGAAATGCAAATGTAAATTGGAAAATAATGCAGATGCGTGACGAACGTGATGCGAGAAGAACGGTGTATCGCGAGGTAAACGAATAGGAAATTAATCCGTCGCGTCGATAGAAAGTGAAACTATCGTGGCTGGCGATCAGCGAAGTGATTAGATTCGTTGAGAAAATTCTGTACAACTTTGCTTGCAAACAGGATACCTGCCCACGGTTGAACGTATCAGCACGGCTACTTTAATAATTCAACGAACAGAAACGTTTTCGATAGCATCGCTGTTTGGATTAAGCGATAGCTAATACGAGGATTAACGAAGGCGATAAAGCAATGGTAGAAAATAAACGGTGTCCCCGGGCTTGATCGAAAGTGATTCTCTCGCGTTATGACAATAATTCATTGGGACGAGAGTGAAACCTGTCTAGCCGCTTCTTTTGAAAAGGAATAAATAATTCTGTACGAATGGAAATTCTTTTAAAACGGATCGACGTCTTTCTTTTCTACCGCTTATAATTCGTTCAATTTCTTTTTCACTGTTTAACCCTTTTTTTCACCGCGATTCTTGTCTCTTGCTCCCAGCAAGAAACAGAGAGACTAGGGTACAAGCGGCAGAAAGCACGCAATGCCTCTTCAAGGTGGCAACAGTGTTGGCGGGAAAGTTATTCGACCGGCTGCCAGTAAATCATTCTTCGCGGACTCCCGCTTTATTATCTACCGTCTCTTTCTCGAGCCTCCGTTCTCTTCCTTTTTCTCTTTCTTCGCCTACCTCGATGCAACTTTGCCTCTTTCCATCTCACAATCTTTCTATACCTATCTTTGTAGGCATTGCTCGTTTGCTTATTCTTTCCACGCGGGAAAACGCGTGGATGGTTGAACAGATACATACGTTATTCTGCAACGCTTTCGACGCTTAATTACCCGCTGTCCGCTGCTCGTTCGCGTTTAAACCTGTTGAAATAGATCGACTGCTATACCGAGTCATCTAGCGATTCCACCATCTCCTAGAATATGCTGGATATCTTCGATGAACGTTTATTGGCCAACACAATACGTGCCTCGATCGAGAGAAGAAACTTTAAACTGTCATTAAAGCTACTTTTGCCTGAGTTAAAAGGTTCATTATGGCACGAAGTTCGCGTCTCGATTTCCTATCCTGCAAATTACGTCTCATGTTAGTAAATTTACGAGTCGGCTGGTTGCGTTTCGCGGTTACCAATTACCCGGCCGTCGATCGATCCGATCTAATCGAATGTTCGATACCTCGGTTACCCTGCCGATGTGAAAATTAAAAGCGACTACGTTTACGTTTGACCTCGCTTACGTTTAGGCTTGTTTCTTGAATAGCACGAAACGTGAGCTCCGCAAAGAATATTAAAGAAAAAAAAAAAAAACTTTGATATCAATATTTATCACTTCTTGACACACGTCATCGCAACTCTCTCTTCATTTTTCTTGTTACCATGATTCCACTCTTGTTCCTTGATTAAACGTATACTTATATCATACTCATTCTTAATGGATATCATTCATATTTCTGCACATTTCACACCTCTACGTACTTCATTTCCTGCATCAAACATTATTTTCGGATTACTTAACCGTACTCACGCAACGGAGTCGTGTAAGTAGCTTGGCCCGATGGTGATCAGACGCCTCCGTTCGGTATATTACGAAACGATTCAGTTTTCTTCGAGAAAACAAAGCGCTGCAGCTGCGCTGCAAGCTACCAAAAGAATAAAGAAACAAAAAAAAAAATACGCTCAACCATTTTCGAGAGCGGCACGCTACGTAACTTGTAATCTAACGAGGGTGAAAGGTGGCGATACGTAGTCGCATAAATAACAAGTGCTGGAAGCACGCAGGCGTCCATCACCGCCTCCACGTCCATCGTTGTAACGTTTCAGCATCCTCGTGTGGGGAGGTGGAGCGGACTGGGCCACCGGCAAATTAGTCACCGGCTCTGCGATTACAAATGGACCACCTCCCTGACGATTCCCGTGTAACCTGCTTTAACCACGCTCAAAGAAATTAACCCTTTCGTATGGGGATACCGTGCAGAGAGCTGTTAAGAAAAATGTGCATATTTTTTGTGTTTTAAATTACTTCCATTCATGATTCACCTTTCTTCGAGCATGTTCCTTAAAAGAAAAAAAGAAAAAGAAAAAAATTTCTACACCTTTATGTCACGAGCACGAAGAAAGTAATTTGATTTACAGTAAGATAATGAAAATTTAAATGTCCTTTGCATAAAAATTTTCAGTTTGGAACGGCATCGTACTTTTTATCAGACTTAAGCAACGATTAAGCTCCGCGACGTCCATTCAACTCGCGACTAGAATGTTCCCGCGATTACTTATCGGCGTGCAATTAATTTGAAAACGTCGATGGTTTCAGGTACAAGCGACCGACCCGGATTGCGGCGTGAACGCGATGGTGAATTACACGCTTGCCGCTGGAAGAATGGAAAGCGAACAGCTGATGGTGCGTAGCGATACCGGCGAGATTTGCGTCAGAACACCGTTGGACAGGGAAACCGCGCCCTATCTAGAGATTCCTGTCATCGCCACCGATAGAGGTATGTACACGCTTGTTCTTGCGTTTCTCAAACTACCTGCAATTATTCTTACACTCCGGAAATAGCGTTTTGTAATGCATTCTTTAATTGTCGGAATGAACATCAGATGATTGACAGGATGTGTAACATCATACAAGAAGAGTAGTATGAATCGATATTATTAGAATATTGTGTCCTAGTATTATAGTAAATTCATAATTGAAAGTTGTATATCGTATAAACGAGGACAATGACTGAAGTTTATTGATCCGGCAAATGATCGGCATCGAGCTCGTTACAGTTCCTGGCAAGTTTTTTAGCGATTCACTCGCACTCGGCGTTTAAGTAAATAGAATGGAAGGCCTAGAGAAGAAACGTTAATGGAAAGTAGAATTAATAAGAAGATCAGAGAAAAACAGTGAAGCTGAGACTGGATAAGAGGAAAAGCATTACGAAACAAGATTCGCTTCCTTCGGCAATACAAAAACAGTCTCTATCGCAAGTACCTACTTGACGTGTTGACTATCGTTGGAAAGAAATTTGAAATATTATAGCATTAATATTAACACGTTGACTGACGTATTTTCTATAATTGAATAATACTACACAGGGCGGTTTCCAGTGGGGTAGTCCACGCTTAGAACGGCGATTACCGGTGATTCCCATAGCAGCGAACGCGTTAAAGTCCCCTCGATTAGTTGGCGCGTTTCGTAAAGAATGTTTGTTGACCAAAAATGGAATCGGCGAAGGAGGTAGCGTGCGAACAATGCTTTTCCTCGGTCTTATCGTCGCCTGGTGGAATAGGTGCGAGGCAGAAAGGGGAAGGAAGGATAGGAAGGATGCGGAAGGTGCGGTGGTGCGACACAGGCAGGCTAGTGGAAAGAAACAGCGAAGGGAGCCGCGAGGCCGCTTGGACGAGGGAAGAGCTGTAGCTATCGCTTCGCCAGGATCTACTAGCGCTGTAATGGGGTGTATGATTTATGTCGCCGGTGTATGGTGTGCCCATTTTCAACAGCCTCCGTTCAAGCTGCCCCTACGAGCGAGGACAATGACTGAAGTCCATTGATCCGTCGAAGGGCTGGCATTGACCTTGCTACAGGTAGCAGGTTCTTTAACGATTCTCTGGCACGCGGTGTTTCAGTAAATAGAATGTGCAACGCGAAGAAGCAACGTTAATGGAAAGTAGAATTAATAGGGCGATCAGAAAAGGACGAGGCGGAGAAAAAGGAAAGGCACGAAGAAGGAAGTGGATGAAACGCGATAGAGGAGAAAGAAGACAAGGGTACGAATGGAATAGGAGTAAAGGGAAGGAGCTCTATTGTTGACCGCATGCCGTTTTGCAAACAGCAGAACTCCGCGTCCGTAATTGTCGCTCGTTATCGATACGATTGTTCAGCGTGCTACCAGACTCACCGACACCATCGGCACAATAGTACCGCTCGGATATGACGGCAGGGAAACGCGTGGTACCACGCGAACCACAGTCTCGCATGTTCGTGATTTATACCACCTGCTGACGACCCGGGACGTTGTTCTACCCAGAGCCAACTCGAACGAACGCGCCTCGACTTCTCAAGATACGCGATTGCCAGCCACGGAATCAACGCCGAGAGCTTAGCCGCGATAACCATCCGCCAAACACGCGTTAGAAATGCGCCAAAAGGTTAGCATTGCTTCGAGTTTCTCCTGGAATTTGTTGTGCAAGCGAATGGATATGAGGATTCGAGGAAGAATTAACTCGTCGTGATATTTATTTGCTCCTTTATCGTCTTACAAGGGGAACTACCTAAGTGTTAGACTCACTTATTAATGAAACTTTGCCAGCTTGTAGAGCTCGTCGAGCTGAACACGCCTATACCCCCTTTTGGGGGCAGACGGCTAATTGTTTAAAAGATATTAACAATTACAGTTAGTTACTCCTTACATTCTGAAGTATGACAAACCCACACATACAACTTGCAATCCTTGGTTCCCAACATTTTTTTTTATTTTATGATAATTTGTCTCTTTTTGAATAACTGTTACATAAAAATTATCATAAAAAAAAATTAAAAAAAGTGTTGGGAACCAAGGATTTGAACCGAGGACCTTTAGTTTGCGAGTCATGTGTTTAACCACAGAGCGGATCCATGACTTACAATCTGAAGGTCCTCGGTTCAAATCCTTGGTTCCCAAATTTTTTTTTTTTTTTATGACAATTTTTATGTAACAATTATTCAAAAAGAGGCAAATTATCATATAAAAACAAAAAAATTTTTTGGGAACCAAGGATTTGAACCGCGGATCTCTAGATTACGAGTTGTATGTGTGAATTTGTCATACTTCAGAATGTAAGGAGTAACTAACTGTAATTGTTAATATCTTTTAAACAAAAAGGGGGTATAGGCGTGTTCAGCTCGATGAGCTCTACAAGCTGGCAAAGTTTTATTAATAAGTGAGTGTAACACTTGGGTAGGTCTCCGTATTAGAGCGAACCAACGACACCCTAACCATTTCTGATCATCGATTACCTATAGTTTAAGACGATTCCAACGGAAAATCTGGTTTGTCTCTGATCGAATTGCAGCGGGAACACGTTCTTGGATAAGAGTAACGATAATCGCAAACTGGACGGTTTATCGCCGTTAATAGTGGCGGATAACGGTACAAGCAGCTCGATAATTCTTGACCACGAGTAGTCTCGCTTTGAATCGTGTAAGAGATCCGCAAATGGCTAGATGATACGCATACCGATAGACTTCTTTACCAGAGCTGCTTTGTTTAGATGTGGGAGAACTTGACCATACGCGTTACTCCCTCGGGGGGCCAAAGAAAATAAATCTAAAGATACTATGTACAAGTACAGTGGATTCTTGCTAAAGGATTCTACATCATATTAATTTTCTTCTTTTCTTTGCGATAAATCATTTGGTTGACGGAGTGCACGAACGAGCAAAGATTTCAGTGTAATTTTGACAAAAGCACCACGTTTCATCGTGGCGCAGAGTAAAAATCTTCCTGACGAGGCAGGATGCGCGCATTCGTTGCTGAACAATGCGACGAATGGCCGGATAACATCTGGAGATTTCGGTCCGGAGCGTCGCGAACTTGACGAAACAGAGACTGGGCTCGATGTTATCTTTCTTTCTGGAAATTGTGCATTACGTGGTGTACATGCGAAACGGTTTGCTCATCTTGATGCACGTGCTGCGATCAACGTACAGAAATGCAAAGGAAGGCGTGGCCACGGTCGGAGCTGAACTTCCTGAAAGTCGGCGGTGACTTTATTGACACTGATCTCGTAAATCTTTCAGACCCGACTCCCACAATGGACAGTCTTTCCATTGCTTTCTTGTTGGTTTCCGCGATCGCACGATCAACCTCTCATTCTCATCAAACAGTCAAGAATTCTGTGAATTTATCGAATTCCATCGTTCTTAAACATCATTTGCAATTATATTAAAGTCCTTAAGCGGTCTCGACGGGTTACGTTATAAATCTCTGTTTACCAATTCGATTGAGCACCGCTGGCTAACACTGACCGCATAAATCTTTCGAAGGCTCCGTATCCTGTGCCGCGCGAACCTCGAAAAAGGATTCGTCCCGACGATCGACCGCGTGAAATTAAAAAGCGGCTATCGTACACCCATGTGTACCTATATAACGCGTTAGAGTGTCGTTAACCTACGTCCAGGAAGCGATCGTACTCCGGACGAGGCGCGTACATCCACTTCTGGATATTCGGTTTTATACGATCGTTAATTTGATCGATCTTCGAGGTCCAGGTGCGCGAGGAATGTCGGAGACTCGTTTCGAACGGAGCAAAGCAGATGAGAGACGCGGGAGTGGGTCGATAGAGAAATTAGGGGTGCATTTCTTCGAGGGAATTCGCGTGGCCCGAAGATCGGCATTTCGATACCTCCACAAGTCGTACGGAAGGTACCTCGCCGCGCCGCGTTCTGCAGAGAGACGGCCGAAGAAGAGAAGGTAGGGGAACGAAAAGGGAAAGGATGAGAAGGTAAAGAGAAGAAGAGAAGCACCAAGCCGAAGAACCGAGTGGACTGGCCCCTTGACGCATGACTCCAATGACACTCGTACCTATAAATCTCGTCGCGGTCCGAGCTCCGCACAACCGAGTCCATATATTACTATGAGTTACGGGTGTAAACCGTTTAAACATCGGATTACCCGTTTTACATACTGTCTTTAATATTAACACTTGCGTCGGGGTTCGGTTAAATCAGCTTGGTCGAAGTAGCAGCAGCAGCAACCAGAACAGCCGCCGCGTTATCGCATTCGCGCTCGCGTTCGTTTGCCCCCTCTCGATCGAGCGCAGCGCACCGTCTCGATTAATTAATCCGTGTAGTCGTCGGTTCGACGAAAGGTAAAGGGGATCGCGATTAGGCTTCGACGGATAACGTGATTTACGGATAGGGATCGAAGAGAAGCGTTATTATCGACCGTCAAAGACCGTATATCAGTCTTGTACGAAGAAAGGCGATACTTCAACGGGCTAACGAATTATTAGCGCGCGAACGACTTTTCTCATTTTTCTTTTATACTTTTATCCCCGAAGACGCCAAACAACAAAGCGATCAGGCTCGCTGTTAACGACGAGTAGCGCGAGTCGCCGGCATATTGATCGATCGATCCGTCCGTGTAATTGCTCGAAAAGCAGCACGACCAGAAAAGAGAAGATCGGGTTGGGACACTGTTGGCCACGCGGCCCGTTCGAGCGCACCGAGAAATTCCACTCGTTTGAAATATTACCGCGAACGCATTACCCTGCTCCGGGGGTAAGAAGTTTCTTCGTCGACGAAATAACGCGAGTGCGACGAGCATCGTAACTGGAGAAAGCGAAAGAGAGAAAAATGAAAGGAATGGTCTTTGAGGTGTATATGTGAAAGAAAAGAGAGAAAGAGAGCAAGAGGTGGGAGAAGCTGATTGGCTTCGAAAAAAGGCAATGGTACTACAGGGCGCTGGTGATTTATGTCGACCGGCTCCAACAGTCCACGTAGATTCGTTCTCTACGCCGGCTAATACCCCGACATTATTTGGCTCGATAAGAGGATTTCATCCAGGAATGAAATAAACATAATCGCTGAGGTTCGCACTCGTGGTCCTGCTGGCCAAAGTTTTACATACAGTGATTCCCAACTTCGTACCTTCTTGCATTCCATTATCCAATATAATGGTAACAAGGATAGCGAAAATTGCGCGTATCAACGATAACCATCGTGAAAATAACTTTGATAATGCAATGAGTAAGCACTTTATCTCGACTGACAAGCAGAAAGTTGTTAACCGCCACGGGCGATCGCATGAACGCGTTCGAAAATTGCCAAGCATCGTGATCCCACTGTTTTTCCTACGTATACTAACGACAATTATTCACAACTGTCAATTATTAGAGTATGTGTAACTAACTTGGAAATATCTGATATTTCGAGCCAGTCCACAGTGTCTAATATCGAGAATTATTTTCTGTTACAGGAGGCCTGAGTACCGTAGCCATCGTGAGAGTCCAAGTGACCGACGTGAACGACAATCGTCCAATCTTCGAACCCCGCAAGTACAACGTCACCGTGAAAAGCGACAGTCCGATACAGGGTGCGATTTTGAGGTTGGTAGCGACGGATCTGGACGCGGGACTGTTCGGTCAAGTGGCGTATCGAATCACGAACGGCAACGAAGCCGGTGTTTTCCAAATCGATCGCAACACCGGTGAGCTTCAGGTGGCGAGGCCGAGTCTGTTGTCCCGCTCGTTGCTGCATCAATTGAACGTAACGGCAACCGACGCGGCTGGTCTGAAGAGTACCTTCGACGCCGAAGTTCGAATCACCACGTCATCCCCGGGGCACAGGATAGCCGGTTGTGACAAACCACGATACACCGTCACGGTAAAGGAGACCATTCCTCAGAACAGCGTGGTTGCCGGCGTGAAGGATGGAGCCGCGTCCTCTTCGCCGTCAGGTATGTTGGTATTTCCTTGTTGTCAGAGGCGCCGTTATCGATTTCCGGTGGAGAAGAGACGCGCGGAGAAGGCTCGATCGGCAGAGTTTGAAAAGGCATCGGTAGAACGGTTGCACCGCTTCGCTGGTCGATGGCCGGTGGTGAATGCATCGAAAACGTATTCCACGCGCGGCGTTACCGCGTTAGCATAGTCGCGTCACGAGAAAACGCCGGCGACGTAGCGAACGCCCACGTGTTTGTGTACGTGCAACTACGTGGAACCACGCTTCTATAAGGACAGTCTCTTCCCTTGACTGTTCCGTGTCTTTACCTTCCGTCCATCCGGTGAACCGTTCCGTCTCTGAGGAACGAAACCGAATTTCAGGAAATGAAAACAGGTGGTGAAGATTTTTTTTTTTCCTTGGTTATTAAATCTTGAACATCTCTTGCCGTTTGGTAGGACGAGGAAGGAGACGGAAGAAGGGTAAGGTGGCGGTGGTTCTCGAAGGGTTGGCAGGGCAGGGTGGGGTTGTACGGGGAAGAAGAAGAAAGGTAAAGGCGGGAGAGGTACGTATCCGTGTTTCCACACTGGTGGTACATCCGATGCAAGATACGGCGCGTCACGACCTGCGCTCACCGCGCCATATACCCGATGCACCGTGTAAAGTGTCTCGTGGCGTATCGACCGGCACGATTCGCTACGTTATAGGCTCAAGAATGGTGGATAGTTTACACGACGGTGCCTTACCGGTGGTCGTATTGTTCGGCCGGCATGGCCCGCATATGCAGCCTGTTGCATATCAATGCGCGCGAACCTCTAGTGTGTTCCACCTTCGTCGAGGGACCACGTCGTCGTCGTCGTCGTCGTCGTCGTCGTCGTCGTCGTCGTCGTCGTGGTTCGTTCTCTTTCGCTCCGACCGGACGGATCTCTTCTTTCGCCCAGTCTCCAGGTCGTCTTGCGTGTTCCGTTCCGTTCCGTTCCGTTCCATCTCTTTTCGAAACAGAGACAGAGACAGAGATTCTCTTATAGAGAAGGCTCGAGGAACGTGGGCCGCGCTATCTAAGGTTAAAAAGTATCGTGACCCTGTCGGACGCATGGCCCCGATTCCCGCCAGATCGCGATCCTCCTTCGAACGTCTTTCGTTCAGAAATGGTAAACGCGTTTTTCGAATTCCTTCTGGTAAATCACCGAGACGACAACGGGACCGAAAATTTTCACAAAATATATTTTACTTGGACCTGTACCGGGCGAGTTTGAGAACGCGTGTTCATGGTTGTTCGATGTACGTCGAGGCCGATCGATCGGGCGATTTCGGAACGTGGCTTCCAATCGGCCACGCGTCCACGCGAGAACCTGTTCGCACGGAAGATCGAGACATGGCACTCGGGCCCACAATATTTGACACACGGCAGCCAATCAGATTATCAGATTAAAGTCGGTCGAGCCGACGGGGCGATCGTCGGCACAGGTGCGATTCATTTTGTGCCAAAGAAAAAGAGAGAGAGATAGACATAAGAGATTCTCGTTGCATCTTCTCACCGTTATTTTACGACACCTGTTTCGACGCGAACAACCCTCTGCGAAGATTGCTCTCGGCTCGCAAACTCGCGGTCACGCTTTGCCCCGACTAAACTCTCGTTTTAGAGAAACGATTTGCATAATTATTGTGCAGAACGGCGCAGTGTCCGGGACGTTAACGGCGTGTTCATTAATTTCGTATTTATTGCGGAACATCGAATCGCGTTATCGGATCGTCGACGAAGGACCCGCTTTACGAGCACCTGTTCTGATAACGCTGGCCCCGTGTTCCCTTTCTGGAAATACGAAAGACAAGCGAGGTCGTTAGAGGGGCGCATTGATCGTCGAGGAAGCAAAGGTCGTTAAAAGAAACTTTGATGGAAACAATTCTTCCTTTAGGGAGAAATCGGGGGGACCGTGAGTCGAATCCGCTAGTCATCTACCCGTACGGTTCATTCCATAAAACTTGGCGACAAAGTGAGGAACGCGCTTCATTTTACGGCCGCGTTTATGGTACCTGGCGGACGATCATCGGCTAGAAAGACGACCGTTCTTATCTTATCCGCGGAACGAGCGACCGCTTTCAACTTTTCACGGCTTTCCAATTGCGGCCCTTAGATTAGAAAGGTGTTCTGCAATCGCGGCAATCGAGATGAGAAAAAACCAGCAGACTGGTTTGAAAGAAGTTGACTCGATATACATCGATCGGACGAAAGGGTTTCGTTTGTTCGTGGAAAACGTATTAATCTATCGGAGAGTTCTCGATACCATGTCCATCTGGGTACAAGCGAATCGTTGCTGTCCAACAACGTGGAATATCTCGCTGGAAAGGAATTACGTAATGCCCTGCTGATAAGGTACCGTTCGACGCAGTGAACTCTACTTTAATCCTTTGATCGAAAGTAACGAGATCGAGTTACGCGGTGTAATCTCCCGGTACTTCTCTCGATTCAACGTTTTCGTAGCCTGAGATTCTTGTCCGAAGGGAATGCGCTTCGAAAGAGCGAAAGGGAAGCTTGTTACAAGCTGAACGAGAGAGTAGGAGAGAAGAAGAGAAGGATAAGGAGAAAGAGAACCGTCGCCGTCGTCGTCGACGTCGTCGAGGTCGCATAAATCGTCGCGAGTCGGATACCGAGCAGCCGAACGCAAGCCGCCATTGTCCAGGACTTTTTGCCCTTCTATCTTCCCTTCTCTCTCTGCCTCTTCTCCTCTTGCAATCTGCTGTTCCTTGTTCGTTCGACGCTGCCGCTACGAAACTGCACTCTTTGCATACGCTTTAAATATCACCGGTCTGCTGGCTTTGAGGGCTCCCAGAGCGCGTCTTTCCCTCTTCTGCGCTCCTTTTCGAAGGTACCGAACGAGAAAGTGGACCGAACCAGACGATGGACGTCGAAGGGAAGCCGAAACCAAGTCCCTCTCTCGTTTTCTGCTTCATTTTTCCTCAGTCGACTTGCATCGGCTCTCTGCAAGCGATGCAACTCGAATTCAAATATCGCATTCTGACGCGTGTCCACATTCTCATCCCTCGACAGAATCGTTTACGTAAATACCGAGTCTGCTTTGCTTCTCTAATTGAAGGGATTGCGACAAGAAAAATCTCCATAACCTCTGGAAAAACGAACTTAAGCTTTCGAAAATGAGCACCGTGATTAGCAATCTTATCCAGTCGGCACGTCGTTAGTTTTTAACGAATTTAACGACGACACCGTATAAAAAGCAACGGTGTAGCGGAGTCGTTTTAAAGCGCCTATAAAGATACACGAAGATATAATTCCAGGCTCGATTCGGTCGTTACGGGCTTGATTACGAGTTTCGACCAGTTCGATTGAATTAAAAGCAGACGCGAACAGGAAGCGGGATAGTTTCTTTTACCCCGATGAGTAAAAGAACCCTTTTACCCCTTTCCCCGCGTGTTCGTCGCTGCTCACTTTTGTTCCTTTTCTTCCCTCTTCGTCCTTTCCGTGCGGTCTCGTGCTTGCATCGTGCTTTCGCCAGACTTGCAAATTTCAGGGGGTCCAGCGTTCTCTGTAACTTTGCATCCCGCAGGAGTACGAGCGAGCAAACCTAAACCAAGCTGCGAGATCCGCGGTTACAGATAGCGAGGACTCTCTGCCACGGCAGGACGAATGCTCACAGTCTGATTTGCGTAATTCCGTTCGTGGAATTTCATGTTCTCTTATTCGAAGAGAACTCCGTGGCCCTGCGTGTACGTCGTTTTGGATAGAAAGAGAAACGATTTTACGTTCATCGTTCTCGTTAGGAAGAAAGTTCTCTAAAAATCATCGATAATATTCTGAAAAGAAAAATTCCACGGGGCATAAGATCGATTGTTCGACAATCTCATCTAGGATTAGCCCGCGGTAATTCTGCTGCCTGTAGGTTGTAAGAGAGGATAAAGGGGATCGAATCGGCGAAGGATCGGAGAAGCAGTGAGAAAAAGATATATGGATGAGCGCGTGCATGCACGTAGAACGGATAAGGGGACCCTCCGCTCTGTAGACGGTGAGATGGTAAACGGCGATAAGAAGGCGCGAGATAAGAGTGGAGAAGGTGCATCATAGGGCTCCGCGTACGAGGAAAAGAGTAGCCCTTCCTTCTATCGCGGCCTTCTTGCTAGCTGATCGTGCCTCGTAGCCCTATCCCTATCTGTGTATCTATATGTTCGCGCACACGCATACACCTACGTGGCCAACAGAGCCGACATACACAAGCAAGTACGCGCGAACAGCCGTTTACACGCGAACCTGTCCGCGCGAAAGCCATCCCATCGTCTCGCGATTTCTGCAACGCCCGTCGACTTTTCCCGTCCGCGATCGGCCTCGACTCGATCGCACAACACCCGTCTTCGAGCTCGCCGAGGATGTGCTTTTCCTTTCTCTCCGACTCGCAGGGCATTCGAACGATTTATATCGCGATAGATCGCTGGAGAAGCGTGAAAGCCACGGACCACGCTCGAACGTCGCGCTGTCTGCCGATCCCGGAACACGCTGACGCGAGTAAACCGAGGGAAAGGAAGAAATTTGTTTCAATTTCAACCTTTCCAAGCAGAGGAAGAACGTTTCTCGCGATCGATACCCCGTGGTGGCTAAACAATACGCTAGCCACACCCGTTGCTTATTAAACCGTCTTTACGAACTCGAACTCGGCGAATTTCTTCACCGACCGGTGTTTCACACGCGCGATCTCAGCCTTCCTCGAACTTTCTCATGATTTCTGATGGAACGGATCGAGGAATACAGATTTTTCTCTGTTTAGGATTGGTAAACAGATTACACTAACACATATAGAAGCTTAAAACCGTGTTAAGTATAATAAATCGAGTCGTGAATGCCTCGAGACTCTCATTACGACTGATGATGGTATAGCAATGGCACTGTGGATAGCGTAATCGCCTATGAACACCACATTCGACTTCCATTCCTAACCCTTTCCTGCCGTCGATCGCGGCGAACCGTAGTCTCGACACTGGCTAACGTCAGCCTTATTGTCAGCATCAATTGTCTTGTCGTTCTTGCCGCTTCTAAGCCTTCTCTTCTTCTTCTTCTTCTTCTTCTTCTTCTTTTTCTGACGCACGTTGGTCGACCATGCCAGACCATTTAGCCGCATCCGTGCAACGAGACGTTTTACGCGTGTATAAAGCTCTATTCGTTTGTTTACCGGTCTCGATGCTGCGTTTCTTGCGCTATTGTGCGCCTCGAACACGTTCTCTTCGCTCACTCGACCATTGAGTAACAGAGAAAGAGAAAAAGCTTCGGGTCGACCATTTACGCGAACCTGTACTCTTCTACTATGATTCGTACCTTTGTATCTACCTCGATTCCGACGCTGCTGTTTGCTGTATAATTCTGAAATTCGAATGCCTCGCGTACGTTGCGCGATAAGGGTGTTGACGCGTTAAATAGAAGGACACGGAAGGAAGAACGATAGCGGAGGAGGAAAGAGGAACGGGCGAGGCCGCCGTCAACGACAGCATACCTTTACCACGGTATCGCTTCTTCATCGCATTCGTCGCGTCGTTGAACGCTACCGTGGCTCACCGCTAATCATCATTATTTAATTACGAGGTCGTTTTTCGTAACGCGAACGAAAAGTGTCGGTGGTTCGCGCAGGCACGTCGCCTATCGTCGTCGGGATAGCCGACGTCCATTACATGGACGATTTTCGTAAATCTGGTTTAGTGCTGGCAGGTCAGGTTGGAATTCGAGACACGTAGGGACGAAGTGAATCGGTTTCTGCACGGTTTTACGAGCACTGCTGGCCTGGAGACGTCGTTAAACCGGCGACGATGACGAACCGACGAGAGACGGTAGCGTCTCAGTTCGCTTCGAGACACTACTGCCATGCCGGTGAAAGGAAGACCATTAAATTATTACCAAACGTTTCTTCTCTATTTCGACCGTTCCTCCGGGCCATTTCTTCTAAACTGTATTTACCGTTCCCCCCAATTAACGAACCGTCCGATTCGATCCTTCCTCGCTGCTTCCCGAGATCGCGCCTATCTCGATCGTTGCTATTACCCGGCCTACCTCTCGTCCAATTAAAAATCCACGAATTTATGCAAACGGTCAGCCTTTTATTGGCCGCCGCGACCAGACCACGGGACATTCCGAAATCGATCGCGCTGGATACCGTGTCGAGAATTGTAAGCGCGAAATCGACGAGGAGAGGCGGACGCTACGTTTTGGGGGAAATCTTGAAGGGGGGATCCTCGTAATTCGACGGACGGCCCCAGCCAACCCGCCGTTTCGATGGCCGTGAAGGAAAAAGGGAAGCGAACGAGGTGACGAAGCGTTCGCCGAAGGGCTTTCCTCGGGACTCGTAAAGGCCGTGCCGCTGTTGAACAGCTCCGGAGCATCGAGCGACCTCTCGAACGGCCCGTTACGAGCTAATTAGCAAAATAAGAGAAACGCTCTGTGAGGTATAGCTGGCCAGCATAGGCAACAGAACTCGTGCCTCCTTATACGGCGTGATCGAATCGTCGTTCTCTGTAATTTATCGCGAGTTTTCTTCGCCCGGAATGTTCCTCCTCGTGAAACTCGGTACACCGGTTTTTTCTGCCGCCCCTAACCGCTCTGTTTTCTTATTTTCCTTCTTCTTCGTCGATCGACGAGAGAGCAATTAAACGGCGATGCTTAGAGAGACGAATATCTCCCGTAGGCCGAGCCGTTATAACTGCTGCTACAACTCGGCTGAAAAATCCTATAATCGTGCATGATAGGATTATAAGCGTCCCGTCTCGGTGATTACTGTTTCTAATTAACCAAACGATGCACGTTTTGCATCGTGGTGGAACGCTTTAAATAGATTGCCGGTGAAACGAGGTACGAAGACATCGCGATTTCAGGTGTAACCTTGCGTTTTCAGCGTTCGAGCAATGCCGTCGAGAGAATTAACCTCGGAGAACGGCAAGCAGAACAGCCAGCAGTTGTTCGATCGTTTCTTACTTCGGCAGAGTACCATTCTGCACGCGACGATCGAACGAGAACCACTTAATGGAACGTTTCTTCGCCGCGTGCTTTAGCGTCGCTGTTTATTAACGCTAGAAAACGTTCAGCCCGTGGCTGTTTCCTCTAAACAAGTCGAGAATTCAAGGCAAGCTATGCGAATCGATTCGAACGCGAGCGCACGATATCGATTAAACGGTTTTTAGCTGTTCGTCACCCGCGGCGAATCGACGAGGAAAAATTTCGTTCTCGTCCGTGTTCTACGCTGGCCGAGTCAACGGAGAAGAACGTCTCGCACGTGAGAACCAGCCGAGCGGAAGCAGGACAAGCGCTATCGTCGTCGATGAAGGACGAACAGAGAGGAACGGAGCAAAGGGACGAGGGAAGGAAGAAAAGGAACACGGGAACGGGAGTCAAGGAACTAGAAATGAATTCCATTTGTGCGATTGAGAGAGAAGCTACGGAGAACGGGGGATCGGACGAGGAGAAACGGAAAAGGAGAGGGCAGGATAAAAAGGGCTGGCACGACGTCGGTCGCGAGGAACACGCCGTTCAAAGGGTTACCTTGCCCCGTGGTAGACCGAATCGAAGAGAAACGAGTAGTTGATAAACGAAACTGAAACTGGCGAACGGAAGACGCGGATGGATCGTGAAAGGATCGATGATAGGATATAGAGGCCACCTTGCGATAGGACGCGTTGCACAGGTACCGCGTGTGTAAAAGAAGCTAGCCAACGATTGGAATCTCGCGACGATCGATTTAAATCACCGCGCCGAATGGAACTTTCTCTCTGTTCAGGCAAAATATTCGACATCCGATTTTACGTTGGATGCGTCAGCGGATAACCGGATTCGGACGGTGCGGTGATTAAATTAGCAATGCTAATGAAACTTTATGACTCGCTCGATTGAGATATTAGAAGCAATCTAGACTCGGATCCGTGTATCGATGATTTAAAAAATGATGAGAACCGATAGCAGATAGCCGTCTGTTTAATACGATACCCGTTGCTGGAACGGATGCAACACGATCGTCTAACGAAACACGATTCCCCGCGAAACTTTTCTCTGTCCATTCACGTACAAACGAGTCTCGATTCTTGCTATGCCTGCTTCCTCGAACTGTTGTTACTTGATCAAGAATTTTGGCCGTTTGGTCTGGAATTTTCAGCGGGTAAATTTCGCGAGTACCGATCGAACTCGAAAGGGCGAGAATCAGTAATGAGTAGGTTCCTTGGCTGGCTCGGATACCGCGGCAAAAACTCGCTCCCGATTCGATTCACGATGGCAAACGGACGAAAGGGACGAAAGGGAAAGGATAGACAGAGGGAAGGAAAGAAAACGGGAAGAAGGAGAAGGAGAAGAAGAGCGTGGACCAAAGAGAGCTTCGAGGGACCGGGCTGGACCAGCGATCTCCACGAATTAATCAAATACGAGAGCGATTTGTCTTCGTTACACCCACGTGGGCACCCCGGAGGGACGCCTGTGTAACCGGGGTGACGAAGCCCTCTCGAGTCGGCACCGCGGGTGAAAAACCCGTTCACCAACTGAGTTCGCCGTACTCTTGCATTGCAATTTATTCCCTCGATAAATGAGGCGAGAGGGGGCAAGCTTCCTTTTCACCTATGTTTTATTATTATTTCTGACGATTATCTTACCGACGTTATACTCGCGCTAGAGAACTAGTAGCGAACGTGTTAACGGGCTAAAGACGAGATTCGAAGGAGAGTCGTTCAGCAAGACGTAAGCGAGAAACACGTAAATCTCGTAGAGCGTGAGAAACGAGAAAACGCCAAGCTACGGACGTTTCCTATCGTTCGCGCGTCTTTACTAAGGGAAAAGAGAAGAGGAGTATGAAGGTGGGAGGCAAAGTGGAGTGGGTATAAATAGAATCCCATAAATTATGCCATCCACGTACGCGACCGAGTACCATCTTTAAGACCAATGTCGTTCGATGTCAGCATCGAAGACCGACTCGATTCGATTCGATTCGATTCGATTCGATTCGACGATGTCACCGGATATCGTGGAAATGGAAACGCTCGCGGCTATCTTCCAGGTAAACGCACAGAGGCGGTGGCCACTGCGCATCCTAGTCTACCAGGTTTTTCTTTACACCGGCGAAGGAAAAACTCGATCGGTTCCATGGGAGACCCGATCGCGACGCGGTAGATCCAAGACGTTTGTCGAAACGTATCCAGAGAGGATACACGTATTTTCCCTCTCTACACACCTCTACTCTCCGCTACCCTTGCTCTCGTTTTGGATCGAACAGCGCGATCGACCGATCGCAGCAATTATCGACGTCTAAAAAGGTACTTACCTGTACCGTACCGAATAGATTCAAGCAATTGCAGACCTCAACCGGTTTCCGCACGATTTTTATAGAGAAACGAACTTCTTCTTCGAATAAACTTTTATAAATTATAGTTGCAATGTAACTTATTATTTTCTCGCATTCAGATTACAATCTGTAACCTGTAATGTTGATAATAGTTTTTACTACAAGATAAACTTCTTAACAGATTTAAAAGCGGTACGTATGTACCAGAACCTTACCACAATAACCTGTTTTCCTCCTCGGCCTAACTCGATCAATCACTATATTTCTGCCGGTGGTTATCTTGCCTTAGGATCTGCGCGTGTTACCGCGTTTTCTTTGTAAAATCGTTCCACTCATTAGTCTGAAATAAATTAAGTAATCCGCGACACGAGCGAGAGCCTCGCGTTAATACACACGTGTTCACTGAAGTTGCATTGAACTTGCCGCAGTGAAGTTGGCCACGCATTCACTCACCGACGCGGCGCGGCGTGAATGCGTTAGTGAATTTGTAGCCAACTTCACTGCGACAAGTTCAATGCAACTCAATTGTACTGGATGCTCGTCGACGAACGAGTAGAGAGAAAAATGATTTTCTCGGGATTCGAGAGGCAACAAAGGATCGATCAATCGAGCTCGGTTAAATGTCACGAAGATATTCGCAGAGTGATCGCAAGACAAAGCGATAACGGTTCTTCGGAGCTGTTCAATAGCGTGGCTAAGAGCCAGGACGATCTAGAAGTTGAACGCAAGAACAATGCCACGTGGGATTCCGCGTGGTTTCGCGACGGCGGAACATCCCTGCGGTTCTCGAACGTGGGCGGACAGGGAACGGCACTCGTTATGCAGGAAACATGCTCTGCTCCGGTGCGCCGTTCGATCGTTCATCGCGTCTGTCAGCCGGTGGTAATGATCCTTCGATTTGCCTATTAATTGATTTTCTCCGATACAGCTAGCCAGTTTCTTAATAAAATCAACCAACCAGTTCAAGTATTCGTTAATTAACTGTTGGGGGATAAAAATGTCTAATAACGTTATTTTGTTTCTAAATTCTGTCGTGACGACGACACAGGACGTCAATAATAATTTACACGATTTAGGTCGATGCAAAAAGTCTCGTTTACAGTCGATCGATTCCGGTATTTCTTGGATAATTAAAGAGGATGGATGGTCGATCGCAGCACTTTACGGTACTGTGTTTAGCAAGATCGCGGCCATTCGATTCAATCAGTCGATTATGGCGTTCGAAACGACGATTCGCGCTATTCCCGTGGATTTTTCGCGCAATCTGCTGGGACGAGAAAGGAAACGAGCAAAATGTACACGTGAGAACAAGCCGAACTTATAATTAACGAGCAGCCTGCTTATATAGTATCCCAACACTTTTTCGTCATTTTTGCGCTTTCAACCTTACCCACCCCCTTCGTTTCCGCCCTTTTTCTTCCTCTTTTCTCTTTTTTTTTACGAAACGAATGAACTGTTCGTTTGGTAAGGTCGAGGGGAGGGGGATGAAGGATAAAAAAAAAAGAGAAAAGAGAGAAAAGGAATTAATACCGAGGCTTGCATCGCGTCCATCGCAGTCTTCTCCTCCATCAAAAGATTTCTCCAGCTTCCGACGCTCGTTCGTTTTTAAAACGATCATTATTTAAAAGAAACGTATAAAAAAAGAAGCCACTTTGTAGTCATTTAATAACGATAATAACCATGTTCGCAGGTGAACGGCCGAGCAGATTTTATTTGGTGAAGGAAGAACCGGATCTAACGATGGACCCGAGCACCGGTATGCTTCGAATTCGCCAGTCATTGGATCGAGAAGCCCGAGACAAGTACATTTTGAGCGTCGAGGCGCGTAATGGAATATCTGTGGGCTACTGTCAGGTAAACTGTCAAGTACTTTTGCTCGAAACTCTGCGATTTACCCTGAACCGATCGGTATGGTACGTCTTATTGCAGCTGGAACTGAACGTGGAGGATGTGAACGATAACGCCCCTATGTTCCCGAGCAGCAGCGTCCGTATTTCCGTGCCAGAATCGCATCCCCTTCACACTGCCCTTTACGTGGCACACGCGACCGATCCGGACACGGTACCGTCGCACCCTCTGCGCTACGTTCTCGGCCAGAACAGCAACGACCTGTTCGGAATAGACGGCCGCACCGGAGAGCTGTATCTGGCCAGAAGATTGGATTACGAGACCCAACAACGCCACGGACTTCTGATAAGAGCGTTGGACAGTGCTGGCCTCTCGGCGAATCTCAGCCTGAGCGTCGAGGTGCAGGACGTGAATGACAACCCCCCAGTGTTCGAGAGGAACGAGTATCACGTGGAGGTTCCCGAAGGCGCCAAGCTCGATTCACAAGTGAGAAAAATCTTCATTACACGCCCGTCACGCGGGCATTTGTTTGTCGAGGAGACGCGCGGTAGGATCCTCTTTCGTGGAACAGGGGGGGATAAAGGAGCGTATATGTATATGGAAGCGAATGGGAACAAGGAGAATTCTGGATCGCCCAGAAAGGAACAGCAGATCCAACAATCTTTCTACCGTGTTTCCTTCTCGTAACTTCCATCGGGATCTTTCGTAATTTCATCGGGACAACCAGGAAGACGATTCGTTGTCGAACCTTTGCTCCGTTACACGAACCTCTTCTAGTCTTCTCTAACCGTTTCCTCGTTCCTTCTTCGATTAGACACGGCTAGAACAGACGGGACGAAGAAGAAGAAGAAGAAGAAGAAGAAGAAGAAGAAGAAGACGTTGACTCATCGAGTTCACCCTGTCAGCGTAGAACAGAAACGAATTAGCCGAACGCCAAGGCGCGCGAATGATTGGTCGATGATGCGGATTGCGAGCTTACTCGACAGACCAGTTCGGTTAAGGGATTGATAGAGTATAACCGATAGTTTGATAGAGGAACGCGGTTCCTTGTTGCTTGCGATACACGGTACGTGTATTGCCTGGCCAGTATGGTGCGCTGGGATTGATAGGTAATCGTTGATAGGCTTAACAGAAACGCAGCGGCCAGCTGTTCGTTTTATGAACAACCTTCGCTGGTTATCCCGCTCGAGAGGGCCATTTATCCTGGCTAAACACCATCACCGGCGTACTTTGAGCGAAATGATTCGCCGTACCGGCTGATATTTCTCATACGTTCCTGATGTCTAGGTGTCGAATAGCAGGATTTCCTATACGGATATACGAAAAGTCGCGTATCAGGGTAGAGGGGTTCAGGTCATTAGAGGATCTCGGTAGGAGAACGCTATCTAGCCGTGGAACGCGAGCGACGAAGAAACGATTCTTCGCGATGGTAGCCACCGGTGGACGTAATCCCGAATACGAGGATACCGATGACGAATGGGCAGGAGATGGTCGAGTCGAGATAGGCCCGTTAAATGACGTCACATTTTTAATACAACGTATACACGACGAGGGTACGATAGAAGAGGAGACGAGGAGAAGACCGCACGTTCCTCCCTTCCTCTTTCTTCTTTCCTTCGTTCGCCACTCGATCTTTCGTTCCATCTTTCTGCCGGTATACACGTATATATCGGTGCTATCTATCGGCGAAACAGATCTGTGAGCTGTCGGTGGTATCCGGACAATATCTTAGCCGCGGCACAAGCAGAGAGACAAGGAGAGGGCCAGGGAAGTAGCAGCTAGCATGAGTAACCTGGCTACAGTGAGCGTAACCCTTCACCCGCCGCGAACTAATAACGTACAGTTAGACACATTACTGCCTGCTCCCACGTCAGCTTCTCCTTCTAATGGTGTGCCCGATCTCTATCCCCCTTCATCCTTTCCACCTTCCCACCTTTCCTCTTTTAACCTTCCTCGAACACCAGGTCCGATCGTTTCTATTCTCATCCTTATCCTCCCCTTCCTTCATTTTCTCTCCTCGCTATCTCTCTCTCTCTCTCTCTCTCTCTCTTCATTCGCCATCCATCATTGCCCGTGCGCCAGCTCCGTGCACGGGATACCAAGTTATATACCCTCGATCCTACGCTTCTTCTTCTCCTTTTCTTCTTCTTCTTCGACCTCCGTAATTCACGATCCTCCCGCGCTGGAAAACATCAACCGGTTCGAACGCATTTAGGGTTCGCGGTCTTTGGGTGCGTTTAATTAATACGGAACGACCGGATCGACTGGTCTTGTCTCCTCTCGCCGACCTCCTTCTCTCTTTCTCTCTGCCGCCCTCTTTTTCATCCATCTCCCTACAACAGCTTTTTTTCCTCTCCAACGAGAAACGTTTACATCGCAGAAATTCAGATTTCTCCTCGGCTACTCCTCCCACCTTCCTGCTCTTTCTGCTCTACCAGAGTATCGTAATTGTTGTACTCGTTTTTTCATCGCCGCACCGCGCCGCGCTGCATCGTCGTACGTAAAAACAGCCTGGTAAAACAACTTGTTCCTGTCCGACAGATTCTTCAGGTGACCGCGGTGGACCTTGATACAGGCAACAACGCGAGGTTGAGTTACCGTCTTCAAGGATCATCCGCCTTCCGGATCAGCCCGAACACCGGATGGATCTACCTGGCGCAGATTTTGGATCGCGAGAGTCTCGATCGTCACGCGTTGACGGTTCTCGCGACCGATAATGGTTCACCTGCCGCGACGGCAAGCGCGTCCGTTCTGGTGACGGTGTTGGACGACAACGACAACGATCCACGTTTCGAGAAGGATTTCTACGGGTTCGAGTTGCTGGAGAACCTGCCCTCGGGTACGCTGGTCGGATCCGTGAGCGCCTCCGATCCTGATCTTGGCAAGAATGCTCTGCTCAGGTACGCGGTGGTCCAGGCAAACAGCAGCTTCACCGTGGATCCTGATACAGGTAAGACATATATACCTATAATATTTTTACTGTTTTTCACAGTTTGGTATTACTTTCTTTCCTCGATGCTTGTCATAACCGGAACGTGGTCGAAACGACGTTCGAGTGTTTACGAAAGGTATCCGTCGAGGGGCAAGCGACTCGAAAGGAGGAGAATAATATTAGCAAATCCTCTGTTTACCAGTCAAATCCCGACGAAATCAACTGGCGTTCAAGATTTATCGTTTGAAATTCTTTTCATAGCCAGATCGAATAGGGAATTTAAAGAACGTTAGAGAGCGAGTTCCGCTAACATAAGAAAAGAGAATGATGTATTAGAGTTGAATTGGTGCGGTCGTTGAGCAAGGCGCGAGAAAAAGGTAGAAAGAAGCGATTAATTTTCTAAATAGCTCTTGGCCGTCGACGCTCTTAATTTACGCGTCTCTGTTGACGCAACAGAGCGAATGGCCCTTGATGTTGCCATACCATTGTTGAACAAGCGGTTCCGTGACGATTGTGCAACGCCGTTAGAAGCGTTCGATAGATCTCTGCTCGTTTCGTAAGTGGTCGAAAACGCCTAATGAAATCGGCTTCCATCGAGCGTACAAAGCTCTCTCTTTCTCTCTCTCTCTCTCTTCTCGTTCTTCGTGTTCTGGTACGGACGCGTGTCACGGTACAGGCGCGCGCTCGAGATTTATCGCGTACGAAGATGAAAAAAAGGAAAGAACGGAGCGGTAAATTTATTTTTGATACGAATGCCTTTAATTGGAGTCCCGTACAACGCGATACCGAGGATACCGAAATCGAGCAACCGATTATTTCGTTTTTGTAACATCTCTGTCACTACCCCTTTCTCGGTTCGTGGATATCAAAGTATAATCCTGTAAGAGCGGTGCTTTCACCTTGGCCGGCGTGTAACGAATCAGCAGAAAGGAGGTCCAGGTTCAGCGCACACCGTGAAACCAGCACGCACGATACCTCTCGTTGTATGCTACGCGCATACGCGTTTTGATTGGCATGCGACACGAGAGTATTTGTGTACACGCTGGTTCCAAACCAGCCTGGTCGTCTTCCTTTCCTCGTATACACCGACAAGTCTGACCGACCTGTCTGTTTACAGAGCTGCGACTTCTTCGATCATTCTTATGAGCGAACCTTCACCAGAGGAGATACGAAAATAAAAGTAATAAACGTTGTCGCTATGCCGGAAGTATCCATCAACTGTTCACTCGTGTTTATTCTCATTTTAATAATGATCTTTTCCGATCGAATAAATTTAGGGAAATCTCGAGCGATAGTTTAGTGGTTAAAGAGGCGATTCGTTCTCTCCCGGTTGCCAAGCATTCTTCCCTTCAAAGAATCCCGTTGTTGGTCGTGGAACGAACTTTCCTAACGCGCGCCTCGTCGAGCATGGATTTCCAAATATTGGAAGAGACACGCGGGATCGGAAAGAGCGCCGCGTCGCGCAGGTACCCTTGGAGGGAGTCGAAGAAGTCAGTCGCACGGTCCCACGGTTAACACGAGAAACGCATTAGCACGCGTCCTACGATATACTTCTTATTGTTCCGCGATGGTATCCCTCGATGCCGGCGCGTTTGCATGTTCCTCGTCGATCGTTTGTCTTCTGGACGAGGAGCAGAGCCACTCGTCGACGACGTTCTGCCGCGGTGGCAGGGACGCGTCCCGACTCGACTAGCTACGTCGAGAATTCGTGGAGGCACGCGGTTACCCCGACCCAACCTGCTTCGACCCAACTTACGAATTATTATCCCGATCCCTTTCCACGTCTTGGAATAGTTCTGCCTGCTCGGCTAGGCGCTTGCTTAATTACCCATTAATGCGCCGACCGGTCCAGAAGATGGCTGCACTCAGCAAACATCTTCTCTTTTCTTCTTCTTCTTCTTCTTCTTCTTCTCAGGTATTTGTACCTACCGTTCTCGCGACTTCTGCTCGCTTAGTTCTTGCTACAATTATAATACGCGTAGCCAATACCTACATAAGTTCAGGCGCGACCATGGAACGCGCGAGTGTTCGAACGGACGAACGCCGATTATCCAATTAATCGTTCGCGTCCGAGGAAATTGATAAGGTTCGTATACTCGTGCAGCATTTACGCGAGAAAATATACGGTCAACCGGGCCCCATGGCGCGATCTCGCGATCGATTCCAGACATTTTCTAAAGATACCTTTCAATAGAGGAAACGACTGTTGAATAATCACGTTGCTCGAGATGAAATAAATGAGAGTCGTAAGCGACTATCAGCAATCGTCAGCTGTGAAATGAAGCGTAGAGGTTCTATTACTGGTACTTGATCGTTAATCGGAAAAGAAATGAAAACGAATCGGAGTTAATATTTTTCCGTTCGTGACTTTCAGGTGAGATTACCACGAGGGAGCCGCTCGATCGGGAAATCAAAGGTGTTCACGAGTTGGTGCTCGAGGCTCGAGATCAGGGAACGCCTTCCAGGGCGGCTAGGGTGCCCCTGAAGGTTACCGTGTTAGACGTGAACGATAACTCGCCTGAAATAGTGGACCCTCAGGGCGACGTTGTCAGTGTCAGAGAAGAACAACCACCGGGAACGGAAGTGGCGAGGGTCAGAGCGTTGGACACCGACCTTGGAGAAAACGCATCCGTCACTTACACCATTCTTAAAGGTGAGAGAACGTGAAAATCCAGGTGTCGAATTGTGAAGATACCGCTGAATTCCACGTTCACGATGAATAATTTTCATTTACAGACCGAGATTCGGACGGTTACAACGTTTTCACCATCGATCCCATCACCGGCATGATTAGAACGAAGGCGGTTCTCGATCACGAAGAACGAAACGTATATCGGGTGTCCGTAAAAGCGACGGACGCTGGACGGCCACCCCGGCACAGCATACGGGCGTTAAGAGTCGAGGTTTTAGCTCTCGCGGATAACCGGCCGACCTTCACTAGCAGCAGTCTTACCTTTAACGTAAGTACCGTCCACCGTCATAATAGTACGTCTATCGTCTACTCCCAATTCACGACCTTCGTGCTCCAATTATGTAAAGTCAATAAAAGGTTAAATTAATGGGATTAATTTGAATGGTAGCTTAATAATTGAAAAAAAAAAAAAAAAAAAAAAAAAATTGATTCAGGTGCGAGAAGACGCGAGTATAGGACAAGCTGTGGGTTCAGTGTCGGGTGCGGGCCCAGCGGGTCGCGTGGCCTTCACCCTAGACTCGCTGACGCCCGTCAGCGAGTTTCCAGCGTTCGACGTGGACCGCAGCTCGGGTCAGCTGGTGGTCGCCCATTCGTTGGATCGCGAGAACGTTAGCGAGTACCACCTGGAGATCAGAGCGCTGGACACGACATCGATCGGGAACCCTCAGAGCATCGCCGTCTCGGTGAAAATAATCATCGAGGACGCGAACGACAATCCACCTCGGTGGCCTCAAGATCCGATAACTGTCCGTGTGTCCGAACGGGCTGTGATTGGCTCGACGATTTACAATTTGACGGCCAGCGATTTGGACAGCGGACCGAACGGCGATCTTCGATACGGTCTGGTGGCCGAGTTTCCGTCGAGAGGCAGCTTCGCGGTCGACTCTCTCACCGGAGCACTGACGCTCGCCAGACCGTTGGACAGAGAAGAGAGAGCCGAGTACACGTTGATCCTGAAGGCGTCCGATCGTGCTCCTCCCGGTGAACAGTTGGCCTCGACCGTCACCGCGAGGATCATCGTTCTCGACCAGAACGACAACGAGCCGGTTTTCGTCGCCCCGGAATCCACGAAAGTGGCCGTCACGCCGGATCTCTTACCAGGTAAGCGCAACGTGAATTTTCAATTCTAGCGATTCAATTATAAATTGTCTGGCATCGTGTGGTATCGTAAATTGGGATCGTTCCAGGAGCGACGCTGGTGAGAGTGGTGGCGGTGGATAAAGACGCAGGTGACAATGGCCGTGTATCGTACGTGATTACATCGGCAAACGAGCAGTCGAGATTCTCGGTGGGTTACGAGTCTGGGATAGTGAGCTTGGAGAGGCCGATGGTGAGGTCGACGGAGCTTGAGATTACGGCGAACGATCATGGTACCCCACCGCGAAAGTCGACTCTCAAGCTGACTCTGACGCTGGCTTCTGGACAGACCAACGGACCTCCTCGGCTACTGCTCGCCAATCCAGTGGCTAGAGTTTCAGAGGACCTCCAGGTTGGCGCGCCGGTTCTAAACGTCGCCGGTCCTATCATCGCCGATCAGGGTAAGCGTTCAGCGATCTTTCTCAAAGGGTTATCGTTGGTAGCGGGCGAACCGCGTGGATCGTCAAGATCGCGATTCCCGATTCACCGTTTTATTCCTCGCTAAATACGCCAGATAAAACCCGGCGGATTTACAACCGGTCAGTTTATTGATAAATATTCACCGATGCTCGTATATCACTCGACGAAGATGATCAGATAGAGCCGCGAGTATATTCGGTTAACGCTTGCCAGGATAATGCGGAGGGACAAAGCCGAACTCGCCTCGTTCGCAACTTATCGATCTCCTCTCGAATGCGTGCACACCGCGTACACACAAGCGTTCAGAGACGCGCGCACGTGTAGCAGAAGTGCTGCGACAAGGACGTAGGAGAGGACCAAAAATGGGCCTCTCGCGGCTACCCTTTTAGGTGCTCCGTTCGCGTCGTTATTGTTTCGGTGGTGCGTCGCCGCATAAAGTGCCAGGGAACAGAAAAGGGGCTGTCAATTTAGCGCTGTATAGGACGAGCAGCTGAAATTACAGTCTCCTATCTTGTTTTCTCTCCTTCCTATTCATCCTATCCCTCCTCCGCCCTCTTTGTTCTTCTCCAGGGATTTTCGACTTCGCCACACAGACGCACCACCTACACCGGGAAACGATCGCGCCGCAAGGCGGAATATAATCGTAGCCGGGTAGCCAGCTAATAGGAAAGCCCTGCTATGAAAATACCTCGAATAATTGCCTTGAATCCAGCCTGCTACGGTGCGGTGTGGGGGCATTATAGTAAATTCAACGAAATGACTCGCGGTTCGGCTCCCTCCGGGTCGAGACCGCGTTCCATCCGCGTGTAATGTCCGCGGAATACCCCGCTGCGGTCGTGCATCGTTCTCGAAAAAATTCCCCAGAAGAATTCTCTGAACGAGAAAATTCCATCGTCTGTAGATCTGTCGTCAGGCGATACGGATAATCGTCTCTGATCCGGGTACCATTTATTTCCGGAAGCAACGTTCTCGATCGACGCGAATAATTCGGGAAAAAAAGGAAGAACGCAGTTGGTGGTGATCCTAGTCTTCTCGGGCGCGTAGCAGCCGCACGGAGTGAAACAGATGGAACGAACACGAACACGATGATTACTAAATGGGCGCGCAGAAAGTCCGGTGTTCTCGGTCTCGTAGCAAAACGTTCGGTACAGCCGACAACACGGTATATCTCTCGTTTTGCGCTTATCTAGACCGGCGCCCGTGTATCAGACGAGCGCATTAGCGCGCCCCGCAGAAACGGCAAAGGGTCCCGCGTCCCTCTATACTCTATGCGATACTCCGAAGGACGAGCCTCCTGCTAGGGGCCCGGAACCGCGAGACCAGAGAACGGGCAGAAGCTGGAGGTAGACCGGTGGTCAGAACGAAAAGGGAGAACGAGAGAGGACGAGGCGAAACAATGGTCGCGTATATCATCGTGCCGCCAGCCTGCCGCGGTACGCATAGGCAAATCACCGGTTCCAACCAGCCAACCAACCAACACCGACACCCTTCTACCTGTACCACGAGCGTGTGCGTGTCGCCACCGTAACTACCGTTCCGCTGCGGCCAACGAAAAAGAAGCCTCGCTTTGTTCAATGTCCGTTATAAACGTAAAATTTCCGAGATTTGGAAATTGAGAGTGGTTTGCCAGAGAAGGAAATTTCTACACGGACTGTATAATTGCAACGAATCGATGTTCGTCTCTTCTTCGTTTTAATCTTTTCTGATTTTTCGATATCTTTTACCGATTCCCGTTCCGCTCTTCGTCTTCGAAGTTGTCGAAAGAACAAAACCATTTCGCGAATCGAATTTCGATCAGTATATTAAGAAGAATTTACGAAGTATGCCGGCCCGCACCACGTGTCGATCTTCGAGAGCCAAGGGACACGATCGCTTTTGCTGTTTAAGACCTGCGTTTATATATGCAAACTGACCGATAATTTTGGATTCTCCGCGAGGACGCGACAGGATAATGGTTTGGCGAGGGGAATCAGGGCCTATGGTCGCGTGGTTCTAATTTCGCGAACGGCACCCAGCAACATGATTTCGCTCGCGTGAAAGTTTACAAAAATAAAACGATCCGAGAGCCGTTTAATTTTATTCGACGGTTTGAATATCCACGGATAAAAAATATTGACCGACACGTTGACAGAAATTCTCTTGTGTGCGAATATACAGGTAACGTCACCTTCAGCATTCCGAGCAACGTCGCATCGGACAAGTTCGCCATTACACCCGGTGGTTTGGTCACTCTTCGAGGACCCTTGAACCGTGAACAGACCTCCCTGTACTCCGTCCCGATCTTGGCAAGGTCCAGCAAGCTCTTGGATATTAGCACTCTCGAAGTTCTAGTCATGGACGAGAATGACAATAGCCCCGAGTTTCGGCCTGGCTCTTGTTATACCCTCGCCGTTCCTGAAAACCAGCAGACTTCTGTGATACACACGATAGCAGCCACCGATCTCGACGAAGGCAAGAACGGGGAAATTTACTACAGCATCGTTGGTAAGTCGATTAATCCAATAAAAATGTTGAAATTTTTCGATCAACATTTTAACACAATTCGTGTCATCGTCAGGCGGAAACATAGGCGCAAAGTTTATCCTCGATTCCGTAACCGGAAAACTATCGATGTCGAACTTGGACAGGGAAACAGTTTCCAAATACGTCCTGACTATTTCTGCAAAGGACAAGGGTCGTCCCAGTTTGGAAGCTCGCTGCAACTTGACCGTGATCGTCCTGGATGTAAATGACAATGCTCCTACGTTCGTTCCAAATCAGTACACCGAATCACGACCTCGTGGTGCTGTACAAAACTCCGAGTACCCTGGTTTCGGCATACCCAATGGTTTCCCCTACTCCTCTTCCAATTATCCAACCAATTCTTATCCTAGTAAATACTTAGCGACCATTTCCGAAGACGTGGCACCAGATTCTAGCATGATGTCCGTAAAAGCTACGGATCCTGATCAAGGGGTGAACGGAAAGATCACGTATGCCATTGCAGAAGAAAGCAGCTGGCTCTTCAGGGTGGATAATCTGACCGGCGTCATCACTACCGCTGGGTGAGTATTTCTTTTTTCTTTTAAATGATCGGTAAATGAATTTTTTTCTATCTTGTTTCGTTCACACTGTAAATTTACTGATGTATTCAAGACAATCGTACAGTCGAGCATTTTCTCCAACCGATGCGATCCAGCAAGCGGATACAATTTTCTCACCACGCTCTCGCAGTTCTTCCCTTTGCGACACCCCTCTCTCCTCTTTCGTCGGCTTCGCCGGCAAGCTAATTTCATTCTGGCGTTAATTACCGCGCGACCTTTATTGCGAGTCCGATTAGGATCGTCGGTGGGATATTACGCCGGTACCGTGGCGTCATAAAACGAGAAGTAGACGAATAGGAGGAGTCGAGGAGATAAAGAAACGAGAAAGAATTGAAAAAAGAACCGTATGTACGTTCGAACAGTGGAGGGTGGGGAAGACGAAAGAAGGCGGAGGGTCTAGGAATGTCGTAAAATTATTAAGTCAGTCGATAGGCCTCGCGAACGATGCACCGTGCTCGATTAGCCGATTCCATATGCATAACCCGTTGCTTCTTCCTTCTACCCTCTTCTTTATTCCCGTGCTACCGACTCTACTTCCTCCTCCAAACGGTGAACCGTCTGAACGTGCACGCAATAAACCTGTATCACGAGACATCGTTGGAACCATATTTTTTCTCCTTGGCTTTTGTCCCGTCAAGGCCGACCTCTGCTAATTAATAGATAACTCGGCCGCAGGTCCCATGACCTGTGACCTCGTTGGAACGCGTCGCGGATCGTTAGGTCGAGCATTCTCAACGCGATTGTAGTAAAGAAGCAAAAATTTACGTCCTTTTTTCTCCCTTTTCTTTCCGACGAATACTTTTGTCCAAGTGTAGGGACTTGAGAAAAATGGAAGGGTGGACGGGTAGAAGGAATCCATTCGAAAGGACCGAAGGAATCGATGAGATAGTGTTTGCTTTGCATAGTTTATTTTACAGGATGAATTCATAAGAAAAACAAAGTATGCCCGTGCTGTAGAAGCTCGCGAAATCTCGAGAACTTGACAAGGGAAAGGAGGAAGGAGCCAAGAAACAGGGAGATCCGTAGGGTGAAGGGTGTCGTCGGTAGCCGCGAGGAAGCACGCAGTGGCGTACTTTTGCCGCGCGACAGTCGTGTGTCATTTCAGCGGGACACCGTGTGGCATTTCAATGCATTATTTCAGCCGGCAAAAAGCCTGATATGCAAAACCAGATCCCGCTCGAGCCACTCTTTCGCGATCTCTGTCTCTTTCCTCATCTCCTTTTTTTTTCTTTTCCCTCCGCTGTTTGCTCCTCGCTCCTTTATCTCCTCGACTCGTACACTCGTGTCTCGTTGTTGCTGTTGTTATTGTTGTTATTGTCGTTGACTGTGCGAACGGATCACCTGGTTCAAGACCACCTGGAGATCGTCAAGCGTTACCTTCTTATTAATGGACGAGTATTTCTTTTCACAATGTTTCCATCGACGTTATACATACTTTAGTAAATGAAAATAGTGCAGTTAGTATGATCGTAAAAGTAAAATCGGCAACAGTAGCCTCAGTTCAATTGCAATTACTCGCGATCATTTCACGTGATTCCGTATTATTCCACGCTCGTTAAGGCTTATTACACGCGCGTAGATACGAAGTCTCGGGGACACTTTCACGTGGTGCAATAAAAGTCACGGAAAATCTCTTGTAATGCACGGTAATAAAGCGATGTGGGTAATTTGAACTATTCTAGTTGATTCCGATCTCGAAAGCGTAAATTATCGAGCACGGTTCTTTCGTACCGCTAATCGCGAGCTCGCAAAGATCGCGTGACTTTTCGCTAGCAAGCCGCTAATAAAGACAATGTTTACCGGTTCGATAAATTACCATCGATTTGCTTTATCCGATCGCGAACGATAGAAAAAATTCTCATGCGATTGAATGTCGCTCGTTAAGCAGCCGGTCGATTGAATGGGAACAAATTATGCATTCGTAGCGGAGCGAAAAATTTGCCGTGATAGTATAATTAGATTAGAATTAACCGATAAAGACGTTGTTCGTACGAGAAAGCTTGTGTCTCTGTGTCCGGATAGCGGCACGGAGTCAGGCAAAGGAGTTGAATAAGAAGAAGAAAAAAAAAAAAAATAGAAAATGAAACGGTCGTGAAACTATTCAGATGCAGAGGCGTAGAAATCCGGAAGCGGAGGAACGTAAGTCGGGTGCGCTAAGTCGATACAGCGATTTCTCCAGGCGTATAGCTCACTGCGACGGGGATGCTAAATTCTCTCCGTGGTTACGGCGAAAATGCAAGGCTACCTCCCTCCGGCTTTCGTGCGATTTAAAACGCGAAACGGCGCTCGGTGAGTCGGTGTGGAGGATCCGCAGAGTTATGGTAATGGCGGACGTGGATTACACAAGATCGCCGTGCGCGATTAAGGCTTCCGTCACACAAACAAGCTACTCGCCGGCACATTTTTCTTAAATCCGGCCCGCTCTACCGATTCGAACAACAATCGTCTATCGATCGACGCTAGATGCTACGAATAAAACTTCTATTGCCTCTTAATCGAATACCCGATACAATTACTGAATCTTCTGCAGCCCCTTGGATCGAGAACGCCAAAACTCGTACAACTTCGTGGTCGTGGCCACGGACAGTGGCAAGTACGACGCTAAAAGTACATCGATCCCAGTTGAGATTCGAATAAGCGACGTGAACGACAACGCCCCGGTTTTCGCGGAACACCCTTTTCGTGCCCATGTGTCGATCGGCACCCAACCGGAGAAGAACATTCTTCGAGTAGTAGCCACGGACGCGGACGAAGGGGCGAACGGAGAAATCATCTACTCCTTTCTGCACGATCAAGAGAAGCCAAAATTCAGGATTCACCCTAACACGGGTGCGGTGACTGCGGCGTTATCCTTGTCGCAGGATAACGGCAAGACGTATCACTTGGAGGTATTGGCCAGAGACAAGGGGAACCCACCGAAGAGCACTCGAGGACTGATCGAACTACAAGTCGGAGATCTTGCCGATTTGACACCGGTTCTGAAGTTCCAAAACGAAACGTACGAAGTCGTCGTTCAGGAAAATTCTGCGGCTGGTACCGAGGTGGTTCAAGTGACTGCCGTTCGATCGGATGGCCGGCGACAACACGTTTCGTATTCGTTTGGATCGGGAAACGAGTTTCGAACGTTCTCCATCGACGAGGATACTGGACTGTTACGGGTAAACGATCCTACAAGGTTGGACGCCGAGCTGTGGACCGACTTGACGGTGAAACCGACGGAAGAACAAGGGGAGGACGGTCGTACGAACTCGTGGGGAAGGTCCTTGGAGGGACAACAGTCCAAGGAGAAACCTAGGGAGAGTTCGAAGCACGTGCTTACCGTAGCTGCTAGAACCAGTGGTCCGGATCATTTGGAGGCGTACGTAAAGGTGGTCGTCAGGGTGTCCGACGTGAACGACAATCCACCGGTTTTCACTCAGACCCAGTACTCGGCTACCGTGTTGGAAGGCAATGTCAAAGGAGACTTTGTTGTCAAGGTAAAAAAATAATATTGTCTAATATGTTATTCTTTTCACTTAATATACTATTATCCGTACTAAGATTTTCGTGTGGATTTATGCAGCTTTCGGCCAGCGATGCTGATCAAGGAATGAACAGTAGAATTCTCTATCATATCGTCGACGGCAATCCAGACAACGCGTTCACCATAAGTCCGCCGTACAGCGGTATAGTTCAGACAAACATAGTTCTCGATCGCGAGATCCGTGAAAAATATAGACTGACGATCATTGCGACGGATCAAGGAAATCCTCAGTTAACCGGTACGGCTGCCCTCAGCATCCGAGTGATCGATATCAACGATAATCAGCCGACTTTTCCGGAGCACAGCATCGTCTCAGCTTCCGAAGGTAAGCGGTGTCATTTTCTTTTTTTGCCAATTATGCCTATACTGCGGTATGTTAATCGATCAATAAAGCCTTTCGTAAAAAGGCATCGATTTGTCAAAAGTTCCGTGATGATAAACTGACAAAAAGTCGTCTCTGTGTGGCAAGGATGGAAAGAAGGGGACGGTTGAAGAAGAAAAGAAAGAAGGAAAAGGTAAAAGTAAGAGCGAAAGAGAAAGGTATAAGCGTGAATAGTCGAGGCGGGAGTGCACGCTACTCTCGAAGTATAAAGTTAAGTGGCAAAGGATTTATGCCGGTATTAAAGTCCAACTGTTCGGAACAATCTGCATAACTTAGGCGAGGCTGCAAAACGCCAGGGTTCGGCTGCCTCGCCGTCTCTTTTCTTCACCTTCCTGCTCGCTGCTTATCCTTCTCCGTTTCATATTGTTCCCCATTGACAGGTACGATTGAATGGAACGGCAGCGAGCAAAGGTGGCCTCGAGTTTGACGCGCAAGCGCCAGTCTCGTGCTGCTACCGCAGAATCGATGAAGACGTTAAAGAACCCGAAGAAAAATAAAGAAATTTTCCTGAAAAAGGAGAAAAAAAAAAAAATAAGAGTATCGATACGATTATCGTGCTCGGTCCTGTTCGTTTAATTTAAATTACGAATTTCGTTTCATTATAGCTACGATGTTGCCGCGTGTCTTCTTAACTTCTTCTTCTTCTTTTTCTTTATCTTCTCTCCCCCGTGGTCATCTTCTTCTGCTTCTTCTTCTTCTTCTTTTCGTTCTTATTGTAAAACTTCTACGAACGTTCAACACGAAAGGCCGCGTACTCGAGCGCCAACAGAGTAACGCGAGATCGCTATCTAATTTGTATCACCATAAAACTTCGGCTCGGTGCAAACGAGGCTACTACCGCTTCTATTCGCGATGCAGCGCTCGATAGAATTTATTTAACAGCGTCGTCGCGTAGCGTGGCGAGCAAAAGCGCGCCAGCCTTTTCAACCGAAGCGCCGTCGCGTCGACTTATCGTTTCGAGGATCGTTCAAACGACGCTCGATCGAGCTCTTTACGAGCCGCTTCACCTAGTTCCTTATGAAATATCGCTCGTAACCGAGTAATGGGATCATCGATTCGCGCCGTTTAAACTAACGAGTTAACTCGTCGCGTGAAAATTCACACGGGTTAATAATTTTACTCGCGGCAACTCCCATCAGGTGGTCGCTTTATTCTTAATAAACCTAATACCTTAGGTAGCTATGACCCCGTTTTAAAACGGTAACTGGTATCGGCGAGAGTTCGAATGAACGCTTTCGTGGATGGCTGAAAAACGATCCCGAGTTCGCGACCGCTCATATTTTAGCGAACGCGCACGGTAATTGTTTTTAATTATCCCGCTGGACGTGGCGTATATAATTATCGTTCGGCCTAAAACGAGAGGTGCGGTTCGCCAATGTTCGATAGACCACGCCTTTGTTCCTGAAGGGCCTTCCTTCCCCTTAACCGTGGTGTCCGCTAGCGTCCAAAGGAGGATTTTAATCGACAGCATCGATCGAATCGGTTCCGAAACTGGCACTGACACGAGAAATCGAAACAATGGTAGACCACCGACGAGTGGATTTTCCGTACAAGGAGCACATCGCCGACATCGTGTTCGTGTTCTACAGACGCCAACTACCGCGAACATCAGGGACCTCCGGTAATCAGAATTACCGCGATATAACTTACAGAGATCCACTGGATTCCGATGAGAATTTATTATTTCGCGTTGGTCAACGTTCGCATCCACGATTACAAGATAGTTTCGTTGGAATGTGGAGATCGTAGAAGTAACTGTCGTCAACGTTAAGCTAGTATAGGGAAAGCTTATCGAGTTGGAACAACGCTAACCGGCGCTGCAAGAGTTCAAATCGAGCGAGTTCGCAGTTGTTCTCGAAACCGACTGGTACGACTTTAACGATCAGTCGTGAAATTTACGAGCGGACGCAGCCGCGTGCCAGCTAGTCCTCGGGCCATTCGAACGCGTCTCGGAATAATTCTTTTATATCCGTGCAGGTGTTGCGTATCAAACTATAATCGCCCCTCGGGTATAGGAAATGTGCACGAAAATGGCACAGGAGGGCATAAAAGCTTTATTGATAAATACCATGCATGGAATGCTAAATATAGAACAGTCTCTGGAAATGACTATTCTTTCTCAGTTCCTTTCGTAATTTGCCCTTGGCACGCTCGAGATTATCGCCCTACGATGAACCGCCGAATCTTCCAGGGGATTCGCTTGGCCTCTCCTTAACGCGAGCAAGATAAAACGGGCCGATAGTAGGGATTCAATGCATTTTAAACGCGACTCCCTCGAAGTGTCTTTAAATTCGCGGAAGAACTCCTCCTCGCTCTATATACGTATCACGAGCGATCGTCTACCGGTGACAAAGTGGCTTTTGGCCAAGAATAAAAAGACGAAGGCGAACGGGTGGCTTGTATAATGATACCATTCATCAGTAACAACGGTGTCTGGCATTGTTGCAGACGATGAACCGTCTCTGTCGTTCAATCTCGCGATTAAACGGTTCGTCAAGACCTAACGTATTATCCTTCTTTCAATCGAATGAGGTTACTTGTCAATGAAAATTATAATACTACACTTTCTATTACACCTTGAATTAATACGAAACGCATTCTAATTCAGGTACTGCGGTTGGCACGGTTCTGACGACCATCACGGCGAACGACGTGGACAGTTCTCCGGCTCTGACCTATCGTTTCGGCAATGTGACCAGCCCGGGACCTTTCAGCATCGACAAGTACGGTGGCAAGGTGGTTCTTCGTAGACGTTTGGATGCCGAAACACGGTCCGAGTATAGTCTTCAAGTGATCGCCAGCGATGGTATTCACGAAACGACGACCAACCTGGTGGTTCGTGTCACTGATCTCAACGACAACGCTCCTCAATTCCAACAGTCCGCTTACATCGCCACTTTACCTGGTGAGTATACTTGCTCTCGTAGCAAAATGTTAAATAGACTAAGACGGTGAAAGTAATCGCGATGCAGGAGAGAAGAAGAAGAAGAAGAAGAAGAAGAAGAAGAAGAAGAAAGAGGTAACGGTGGTCCCGGGACCGCGTCCCTTCGCGCGAAATAAACGCGAGTTTAAAAACTGGTTTTTAGTAGACACGCGTTGTCCTGTTGGCCGTGTTCCAAACTCGAATTGACACCGCGAGGAGATAAAGCGCGGGAAAGAGAGGCGACTAGAAGGGAATAAAGGGGCTGAAGAAGGAACGAAGGTACGTAAAGGATGAAAAAGAGTGGCGGATGAGTGGGAAGGGGTCGATGAAAAGCTAGCTGCTCGAATCCTGAAGGGAGCGAAGGAAGAAAGGGAAAGAGAAAGAAAAGGAATGGCAGCAGCGATGGCACGAGGGGCGGGTGACGGGGAGGGCGAGGAGAATTGCGAACGCCTCGCACATAAATAAACGCGAGGACACCGTTTGCCAGGCAGCCGAAAAGCCGCCTTCGCCTGCAACCGCCGGCCGAGATCGCCGGCTTCGAAGACTCTCGAAACTTATTAAAAATACATAGGCCCGCGCCTAATGGTGCATTTGGGTGGGCGGAAGAGGGGTGACAGGGGAGGCTGGATTGGCAGGAGGTGGACGTGGAAAGAGTTGAAAAGGGGTGGGGAAGAGGAGCTCCCACGGCGACTACCTCGCGGAATTTGCATCTCTTTCTTTTCCCTTCCTTTTTACCTTCGCTACGTTCCGTTCATTCCGTGAATAGGGTTGGAAACCAGACAGGATTCGGGAAAAGATACTCGACGCACGAACGATAGCCTTCAGAGTTTTCGCAACACGATTTGTTACACTTTTAACACCGAGGCTTCCAGGTGTTTTTTCAAAAAGGATCCTACCTTTGGGTGTACCTCCACTGTTCCTCGGTAACGCTCCACCCCGTTGAAAATTAGTTCGATAACGTCTACGCCTGCTGGGTGGGTTAAGATCGTTTCTTTCCAAGGCTATATTCAATTTCTTTTGGGCAAAAATAATGGATCGTTTATATGGCGATGAGCAATCCAAGGAGGACGAGTTAATCTGGCGATTACCAAAATCGTATTAAGCTGTCCAAGGAAAGTAGGATATATTTTGGAAAGGCGGAGAAGGGATTAACGAAAGAAAGGGTGAAAGCAGAGGGAAGAAAGAGGCAAGAGGAATTGGTGCCGCTATGGAGGCATGATACGAGCACGCACACTGCACGGTCATACGCAGCTCGCAATAATTATAGAGTACCTGTCACTTCTCGGTTAAGATCCCCCGATCCCCCTCCCTTCACCGTGGTATCGTCCTACCTCCTCACCTCGGACATCCCCAAAGGGCTGCACATACGTTCGCCAAGCTTTATTTCAGTTTCTCCTCCTCTCCGCCCTTCTGTTTACCTCTCACTCTTTCTCTCTTTGTCTTCCATCTTCGTTTTAGGTCGGAGCTTGGCACATTAATGCCGAGTTATCCGACGATTTGAAACGCATCGAAATGATTTTTGTGCGCCCAGACCTGGCCCCGTCTCCGCACTGGCCCCCACGGCTCGCTCGAGCGATTTATATAACTGGTTATTATTTCATACTTCCGTTCAGCCCGATGTCAGGACGGCTTATCCTCCTTCTTTACCGAGAAAAGAAAGAACCGATGGTGGTGGTACTGCTCGAGGACGTGGCTCCGACAAAAAGAGGCAAAGGGTACTTGACCTCACGCCTCTGATCCCTCGATCTTTGTCCCGAGTACTTTTCGAGTACGCACTCTGCTTTTTGCTTTTCTTTCGAACCGACCAAATCGACTTTTACCACTTCAACCTCGAGAATGCTCCAATTTTTTTTTATCTTTTCCCGCAAGAAACTCTTAGGTCTTTGCAATTTTTCTCACGTTTCAGTTTTGTTTCTTGCAGAGGGTGGTCGGGGCGAACTGCAAGAGATTCTAACGGTGAACGCGACCGACGACGACCTCACGGAGGACAACAGCCGGGTACGATATTATCTGCAGAAAGCTACCAAAGGTTTCTCGGTGCATCCGATGACCGGTGTACTGACGGTTAATCGTACCGCGATACCGAGACCATTGCCGAAAGAGGTGGAGCTGGCCATCGTGGCGGAAGATTACGGTAAACCACCGGCATCATCGGTCTGCTCGGTTGTCGTACGATTAAGTAGCCTGAAGAGCACGTTGCCCGAGAAAGAGTACAAGATCACGGTGAAGGAAAACGCGTCGAAGGGAACTACCTTGATGAGACTGTCCGACGTGGACCTGTTGGACGGTGCGATCGTGGCTGGCGATGACAGTGGCACATTCGAGGTGTCAAGAGGAAAATTGATGCTCTCCAAAACGCTCGACAGAGAAACGAAGGACAGGTAAGGGAGATTTGATTCGATAATGCGTAGAAAATGAATCGAAATGTACCGATCTTTAAATCGTAACGAATTTTTCAGATACGTCTTGCGACTGGGTTCCAAGAACGAGAATATGACCATCGGATCGTTGGTAGGAGACGAACCTATCACGGTAATCGTCACGGTGGAGGACGTAAACGATAATTATCCTCATTTCTTGGAGGAGCTTCATCAAGTGTCCATCAAGGAAAACGCGGTTCGTGGAACGATCGTGGCGACATTGCGAGCCAAAGACGACGACCTAGCTGGTACAGAAGCAGCAAATTTAGTTTACGAGATTACTTCTGGAAACGACGGTGGCCTCTTTCGCGTGGAGAAAACTACCGGCGCGGTATTGGTAAACGCCACGTTGGATTGCGATCTCGAACCGGACGTTCACAATCTTGTGGTGATGGCGTGCGACAGCGATCCAATTTCTCCTCTCTGTGCTCTGGCGAGGCTACGAATTCATCTAGAAGACGTAAACGACAATTCTCCAAAGTTCCCGGTTTCCGAATACCTAGAATTCGTTGGGGAGAACGAACCAATCGGAACTACCGTGTTCTCCGCTCGAGCCTCGGACTTGGATCGCGGTATCTTTGGATCTCTCAACTATTCGATCGTGTCCGCCGCGGCGACAGGTTTCTCCGACATCGACGACAGTTGGAAGCTGTTCGCGGTCGACGGGAAATCCGGCACGGTCACCACGCGAGCGGTTTTCGATTACGAGCTACGAAACAGATACGCGTTTACCCTGAGAGCCACGGACACGGGTGGTCGAACGGCTGCCGTCAGGGTCAGAGTGGAAATCGAATCGAGGGACGAATTTTATCCTCAATTTACCGAACGAATGTACAGATTCGGAATAAAAAGTGGTGCTCAGGTGTTGCCCGGTACGGTGATCGGTCATGTCACAGCGACGGACCGTGACAAAGGACCGGATGGTCGGGTGGTCTACCAGTTGACCTCGCAGCACCCCTATTTCAAACTGAACCGCACCACCGGCGCGTTGATCGTCAAACAGAAGCTGATGCACATCGACATGGACGTGGAAGAGTCGTCGAGGCTGGTGGTCAGTGCCAGTTCAGGAAGGCAGGGCTCACTGTCAAACATGACCGTGGTGGAGATCACTCTGACGGACGACAGCGACGTGAACGAAGCTAGAGGAGCCACCGCGTTGGCAAACCCCTCGGACATTAACTCTAACATGGCTGTCGCTGCGAATGGAGGTCTTGCCGACTGGGCTTTGGGTCTGCTGATCGCTCTACTTCTCCTGGTGATTGCATTCGGTGCCATTTTCCTATACCTTCATCTTCGAAATCGGAGACACAAGAAACCCGGGACGAAACCCGGTCTGAACGGAGAGAGCAACGCGACTGCATCCAACAGCTACGTAGACCCAAGCGCTTTCGACACTATTCCTATTAGAAACGTAGGCGGGGTCGGTACACCGGGAAACGGGGGTTCGGGAAACGGAAACGGGGCAGGTGGTACCGCGACCTGTCAGTTTGCTCCTCCAAAGTACGACGAGATACCACCGTACGGTACCTCAGGTCAGTCTGGACAGCAGCAAGCTACTTCCGAATTGTCTGGCAGCGATCAATCGGGCTCGTCCGGTAGAGGTTCGGCCGAGGACGACGGAGAGGACGAAGAAATTCGAATGATCAACGAAGGTCAACAGACAGGGGATTCAGCTAGCGATTTGTCGGTGCACAACACTCAGGAATACTTGGCCAGGTTAGGAATCGTCGATCCCCCGGCTGGTACACCGAGAAGGCCTCCCGAAGCTCTGCCACTCGATAGCCTGCATCTGTTCGAAGACGAGGCTGCTACCGAAGCAGACATCGCTACTTTAATTTACGGCAAGATTGGCGAACCTGGCAGACCCATGTCCGGTTTAGAAGTGCCCGGTGGTCCGTCCATGAACGGTTCCTTGAGCTCCATCGTGCACAGCGAGGAGGAGCTGACGGGTTCCTACAACTGGGACTACCTGCTGGACTGGGGACCCCATTACCAACCCCTGGCTCACGTATTTAGCGAAATAGCCAGGTTAAAGGACGACGCTGCCAGCGTTCAGAGCGGAAACTCGGGAAGCAGCGGCAAGACTAAGTCTGTACATAAAGCACCACCTCCCCCGTTGCTCACTTCCGTTGCTCCTAGGTCTTTGGCGGCTCCAGCGTTAGCAAGGGGTATCCTTCCTAGGTCTCCGATCAGTCATGACGCTTCCACCTTCCCCTCTGCCGCCCTCAGTCCGAGTTTCTCACCGTCCTTGTCTCCTCTTGCCACTAGAAGTCCCAGTATCAGTCCTTTGGTGCCACCTACCACCCAGAGGTCCGGTCAAAACGTGAATAGGGGTATTCCAGTTACCGACGCCGAACTGAGGATTTGAAGGTACTTTAAAGCGATCGTTTGATCGCGTCAGGTGTTAGTATTAGTCGCGTGTAATCGATAGCCGGAGAAAATCACGCGCGATGCTTTAGAAAATGTACTGACCGCGCGTTAGGATAAATTCGATTTTGTGTGATTTCAGCGTGTAGCGTGTATAAAATAGAGACTCTAAGCTGACTGACCTTCGACGGGATTCTCGAAGGCGCCTAGGTGCAAAGAACTAACTTTATAACTCTTCTCGTGATAGACAAACGCCTCTTTTACGCTGTTAGAATCGAAGCAAATTTATTGTAGATAACCAAGTCGTCCCGCAATAACCCTAACGAATAGAGCGTACTTGAAGTCTGCGGAAAAGAGGCGATTGAGTCGATATTATTTCTTTATACTTTACTTTTCTTTTTGTACGATACGACTGTCACTTGCCGTTTCGATCGTCGGTCGGATCGATAACCGAAAAAATACTCGAAGTCCTTGTAAATAGGAGGTGCCAACGCGAGCGCGTAGTTTTTAAGTAATCCTGTACATATTTATCTAACGAACGGACAGAAAGAAGCAACGATCGCGTCTTATAATCAAAAGGATAGACTGTCTTATCGTAAAGGAACTCGATGTTTCGTGCCGTGCTCGGTAAAACTCGCCTGTGTACAGTGATGTATAATGTTGTTTAGAGAACGGAACGCGTCGTTCGATCGTTTTCACGAGCAGGGTAAGTATCATCGGTTCAAAATGCGGCGTCACGAGCGAACTGATCATTCCGATATTCGTGATCGCGCACCTCCACCTCTTTTAAACCGTCTCCATATAATTTGTCTACCTTCCGTGTTCGTCTTTCGCGTGGAATCTCGATATTAGGGAAGACGAAATTTCTGCCAGGTACATGCGCATAAATGTTAGAGGATAGATATTGTCATATTTTGTATAAAAACGAACTCTTTGTACAAAGACTCCCCTGTGAGCCAGGGATTCGCCTAAACGGTGGATCTTAAATAAATGAATTTTTTAGGAAATCCTCGTCGTGCTTCCTGTCGCCCGTCTTCTGAATCAAATACCAAACAGAAAATAATTTATAAATCATAGAGGAGCATTGGAAGAAACGACACATACGGTTTTTGTATAAATCTGCATCTTGTTATACAACACATTGAGCCTTACAAGTATATTCACACGTAGTCTTTGATGTATTTTGATAAATTCTTTCTCTATACTCCCTTCACCACCGCTATGCTAGAAAACCGAAAAAGCGCCAACTTGTTTGCTATTCGAACGTAAAATGTGAAATGTGTCGATGGTTGTAAGAAGCAAGATTATTCAACGAAAACAGCGATGAGGATGCGAGAACTCGATTGATCGAAAATGCTTTAACGAAATTAGCGCGTGTTCCTCGTACGTACAAGGAACAAATAACTGTATCTACGAAGCACTATTTTATCCAGTTAATTTGTACATTTAAACAGTCTCTACGAGAGAACACGTATCGACCTACGTTCCTAAGGTCTAAAATTAGTAGATTCTCTTGAAAATTCTTCTATAACGTTTACAGTTAGTAATTCAAATGGCATGTCCAGTCTTGAGACAGCTCGTTGACGAGCGCTAGATAATATATTTTCTTTATCTCGTTCGTGATCATCGGATCTGTGTTACGAAATCGAGAACCGTGTATTCGGGTTATAAACGAACCCCACGTATGAATCAAGGCTAGTCAAGAAGTGCACAGATCAGCAAATACACTATCCTCGTCAAAGTGTCGCATCGGACGACGAGAAATTTTCTTCTTTCAAAGAGATTCTGTGCACCGATTTACGTTCGTCGATGGTCCAAAATGTTGAAATTCCGTACGAAAAAGAGACTAAAGGAAGCTACATATATATAATATATAGGTATTGTTTCCATATTCTCGGTCTACGATCTGGTAGTGTTGAACGACAACTTTACAGGTTTCAATTGATATCACAACGTTCCTAAAATCTACGTGTCCCTATTATAACGCAAAGTGTGGCATACAATCTTTTGCTTAACACTGTGTTTTTCTTTCTTTTTTTTTTTCTTTTTCTTCTTTAGTAATCATCCGTGTCATTGCTAACACTCGAGATTCGATGTTAGGTATGGGACGTACGCCGCAAAAGTGATCGTGGTGCCGTACAACGTTTCGCCCATTGCCATGATTTGAATTTCAATGAAAACAGATGGAAACGGTTCTGAAACGTCTCGCGAGATTGATTACACGGTCAAGTTGTCAATCGTAGAAAAGATAATCGTGGCAGTACAAACGATCGGTCGTCAAACGTGATATTTTTTTTTTTTCTTTTTTCTCTCAAGCGGGGCAATGAGCGAACGTTGTTTTACACTCGACAAATTAAAGGGGCTTTTCTTCTACTTTCAGAGCGGCCGTTTAGACAACAGCCGCAATAAAATAAGGCACCACGTTCGACGCTGTTTCACGCGATCATTGGTATTACGGAGTGCGATCGTTGGTTGCTCGAACAAGCCGCTACAAAAGCTCAAAAACGGTCTCGTTATTGCTACGCTTCAACCCTTTCGCTGTGCGCCATCGTTAAGCTGAACTAAAATTTAGTATTACTCTTCTCTATCGACAACGAACGATCAGTGAAATAACGTTTGCTTACCGCAGCGAAAGGGTAAATAGCACTGAAACACGATAATTGCACCCCCTTTGATATTGACTTTACGTTTTGATACGTCTGTTGACCTCGTTATTCGTCTGGAAACGCGTAAAGTTTGCCGCAAGACGATAGAATGAGGCGCGATGCGATCACGCGACACGATGTATCATTGATCCCCGTTGAACGTATTGTAGTCGATGGTGTTCGCAACTAAACTAAAGATCGGGATGAACCGCTAGTCAAACCGTCTCTTCGGTCACGCTCCTAGGTATCTGCAACACGCTGATGCTGAAACGAGAGGAACTGATTGAAGGGAGATGCCCGAATTAACGTCGGATCGAAGCAGTGCTTTCGAGAAGCGTAATGAAGAGATACAAAGATGAATGGATCGCGGTTGGTCGTTGATTCAGTGATAGGGAGACCATCAGAAATCATCGGTAAATGTGGCGCGTGTAGCGAAGCAGAGTTAATGGACGTAGCAAATGAACCAGAGCGAATGTACGCGATCGTTTCGATCGTACAAAGTGATAGCCTAGCCCTACCAACAAGCTTGTTTACTTGGCGACGCCGGCTATCCTCGTGTCGTCCTGCATTTCGACGACGATGGTGTCAGGATCGGGTACCCTATTCGCGGAAATGCATCCATTCGCGATAGTGGTTGGTAGAACGGTCTCTGACTGAAAATTATGAATCTCAATTACATTCAGCTTCGTTAGGAATTCTATTGTGAATGAAACGATTGAAATACCTGGTAGGCTGCTGCGTCCAATGCCATCAGTTCCTTTTTCGACAACTGTTCGACCACGGCAGCTGCGTAACAATCTCCCAGCATGTTGTTGGTGGTACGTATACGATCCCTATAATCGTTACGATCGTGGAAGAGATATATATATTTTTGAACGGAAATAAATTGAACAGCTGGCAGCTTAAGGGGATTTAGAGCGATGCTGCCAACTGGGTCGATGGCCTAGTTCACTGGTGGCTAAACGAAAGGTGGATGGATTAGTAGGGCTATACTTACACGAACCAGTCGATGGTGAACAAGAGAGAAACGTTATAAACTGGAGCGTCGATGGCGCTTAGCACGACAAGCAGAAGAACAAGGGCTGCGCTCGGAACTGACGCCGATGAGACGGACGCCGCGGTCGAGGTTAAACTTGAGAAGGAATGCTTGAATTAGCATTAAATCGATAAACTACAGGACACAGATGCAAAGTGAAAGAGAGAATGATGCTTACATGACCGTTATAATTTCACCAAAGCCCAATACGATACCGTGCATCTGAGCGATGAATATACTGGCTACGGCGACGAACAGCGCCGTCCCGTCCATGTTAATGTTGCAGCCGATCGGTAGAACGAATCTGGTCACTCGAGGATCGACCCTGAGCTTGTCCGTCATCAGGCGGAACGTGACCGGAAGCGCGGCAGCCCTGTACAAAGTTGCGTTAGAAATAGTTCCGGCAGGGCTTGCGTCGAGTGACAAAAAGGAAAGAAAAAAAAATGAGAATTCATTCTCGTTGACGCGCTGCGTTGGCCGGTGTCCATGAAGAAAGGGTCATTCTGGTGTAAAATCATGTGTCATTAATTCTCGAGAGATCTCGTAACTGTTGCATGGTCGTAAATGATGCTTCTGAAGGGCAATATGGCAATGAAACGGATGAGCACGAATCCATCGGGCGCGAATAGGATGCAAGACGACAAAAGGTTGAGGGTACGCGTTATGGTCGATTGATAGAGCGTCCGGCGATTACAAATTGCAATGAACAGAGAGGGCTCAAGAGACTAATAATAAACCAGAATGACCGCGAAGACGAACTGAAAATCAACCAGGGTTAATCGTCGAATATTTTCATTGCAGACAAACTCCGTCCATCTCGTCTCCTGGTGGTGTGTGTTTTTTTATTTTAAATCTTTTTTTTTTTTTATTAAGCTCCTGCAACAGACAATCGTATGTATCTTCATGTGTGCGGCCATCGATTACTTACCAAGGCCACCCTCGGTCTCTGAACCACCTGCAAAAGGCCGCGTGCAGCGCGTGTTCTAATACATCATCATGATATTCATACAGTCTCTGTTCAGTTACACTGAGAGCGGTTTCTCTCAGTCAGAACCTCTCTTCTGGAAAAAGTTAATATCCACATAGAAAATAAGTTGAATTAGAATATTGATGGTTCAGGACGTTTGCGATCTTGACCGCCGCGATGATAGGACGGGATGGTTTCGTTCACGCTATAGGTACGCTCGTGATACGCTTACAACTGTAATTAGTACTATTATTGATATTATCTTCGTACAGACCTCTTTCTCCGATGATCGAGCTTTAACTATAACGTGAATAAACCGTAGAAAAAAGGTTCGAAGTCACGCTCATCGAATTCGTTACTGGACGAATGCTTCTCTGTCCCAAGATGCATCGAAGGGAACGAAGTTGCAAGATGAGAAGGGACGAATTAGGAAGGGAATTAAGTTCCAGGAAACACCGAGGTAGGTAAAGGATATTGAAGATGCCGAATGAAATGCTGATGGATAAACTGAAAAAATGATCGTTGCTTCGCGTGATCCACGGTAATGAACATAGTCAGAGAAAGAAAATGATCGTAGCTCGGGGCTTCTGGCCAGTGATGGATGACGCCGGCAAACCTGGAAGAGCGGGCTCGACACGAGCAGACAATATTTTTTTCAGCTTTCCTCTTGTTCTGGGAAAATACTTAAATGGTAAACGTGATTGGCATAAAAGCCTTTTTTTCTTTCCGTCCTCTATCCTCCTCCTCTGTCCTTCCTCTCGCTGCAGGAGGACAGAAAATTCGGATAACCAAGGCCCTCGAAGGCTTCCATGCCAATAATCAGTCCAGTTGACACGGAGTCAGCTGATTTCCGGTTCAACAGACACGGATATTAAACAATATTCTCCGTGTACAAATCGTTTCATCGTATTTTATAGTGCATGGAGTACCATCGAAATTTCGATTTTTTTTTTATTTATTTCTTTTTTTCGGTATATATATCATTATAAATTGGAATGAAAATTGACCGAAAGTTCGTGGTTATCACTAATAACCGGGAGTATCCGCATCCTAAGTGCCATCCGGAACTGCATACCTCTCTCCCTTTCTCTCTCTTTCTCTCTTTCTCTCTTTCTCATTGGCAACGAAGAGCTTTCCCCGCGAGCAACACTCAAGAAAACATAAAGGTCCCGTAAAGGAATAGGAACGGAATCGACAGGAGAAAAGGATTCGACAGCGTTCCACAACGAACTTGACGCTAGAACAACGGGCGATAAACTAAAAATATGTTGGAAATCTAGAATTTCAACGGGTCTGATTGTTCCAGTACCGAAATGCTTGAACGTTGGGAAACGCTGCACGGAGTGGATCGTTTTTTGGAATGTTGGACAGGAGTACGGCCTCGCAAAGCCTCTTCTCGGCTGGCTGAAACACATTTGTCTCTATCAATCGATTCGAATCATGCGTTCACTTGTTTCTCGAGTCTTTCTTGTATCGTTGCACTATTCTTTACTTTTCTTTCGAAAGAAAAACATAAACGAGAAAGACGCGTCGTTGACTAGAAGAAAAATATAATAAAAGAGTTCGAAGGGAATCGTGTAATTTAGCATAGGAAAAGGAAAAGATATTGAAACGACGCGACGCGGCGACGACGACCGAGGCCATGTGAGGTAAACGAATAATATTATGGGTACTCTGAAGGTCGGGCTGAGTTCGAAGATCGACGACTCACGTTGATGCCATGGCGAAGGCGGTCAGTGTACCCTGGGCGAGGCCGGCGTAGAATTTAAAGGGGTTCTTTCTCACGAAGGCCAGATAGATCAGCTGCATGATCACCAGCTGATAGAAAAATACACCGACCACGATCGTGACGATGAACCAAGCGAGCTGCGACATCACCAAAGCCAAATCGGTCACGCCGAGTATTTTCCCAGCTATTACCGAGGTGATGCCTACCGGTGTCATCCTGTAGATCACGTGGAAATTATATTTCCTCTGTCAAATTGAAACACGCAACCTCCATAACCATACGTACCACATCACAGTCGACACCATTCGCATGATGACTTCGAATACAGCTTTGAAGAAGTCGATCACGATCTGGCCTTTTTCCCCAAGCGTTCCCAAAAACGTGCCGAACACCAGACAGAAGAAAACTATGCCCAGGGTGTTCGTACCGCTTCTATATTGAGTTACTCTCATCAGCTCCACCTCTCCCATGACATCGTTGGACATGGAATCGCTGAGATTTCGAAAAGGCTGAGTCTTTGGAACGTATACCGTGTGCGCCTATTGGTAAAGTTGAATTTCAATGTCAGAATGCGGTGTACCTTAGATCGTTAATTAATCCGAGGGTTAATCGTTAATTATCGTCGAGTATTTTACCTGCTGAAAGGCTGCCTGGAAAATATTGTCCGGGAACATGTTCCTGTAATAGACGTGAAAGTGCGACTTAAATGCGTTGTATATTTTTCTTCTTTGTTTTTTTTTTTTATAAATGTTTAATCGATAACTGCATTTAACGGCTTCCGTGGGCAATTCACGATATAGCGCATAATTCTATTAGTCGACGATATGCACCACGGACACACGCTTCAAACGAGCCTCTTCTGCTCGTACAAATAAAAGTACGCACGATCGATGAAACATCTATTCCTGTCTTGATTGTGTGTCATTCGACTTTTCTTTGGAAAAAAAGTTCACCGATCATGAATCTCGTGTGACCTTAATCCTTACCTCGAGACTCGTGAAACTTGGAATAATTTCGTGCAAGACGAGTAATCAATGAATCCTTTAGGGCTAAGTTTATATCTTATCGAGCGAACGTCTATTAATAAACTTTTCGATTAGCCAGCGGTTGATAAACCTTTAACCGTTATTGATTCATCTATAACACGATCGAAATAATAAAAACCGAGTGTGCTAAAGATAGCAAGACTTACTATTAGTTAAATTATAAGACGTATAAAGAAAATTGAGAAAAATTCCATTTCGTTATCGAAGAAATAATTTATCATTTGCGCCGTTAACAATCGCTTGTCCTCGCCATGTTCATAAATCAATTTGTCTTTTGACCTTAATAAATTCGTCCCTCGAGAGGTTAATGGAAATGAGTAACAGAACGAATTCGATCGATTTCTCGAATAAAAAAAAGAAATGTAATCGAATCGGCTAACAGGCAAGGCTGTCGTGACAAATTGTCGCAGGTATTCTTGTCATCGGCGAGTTCACAGTGAAACGAGTCAAGCGTTTCTCCAACGACCGGCTAAAGGACTCTACTTTTATCGTGGGAAATTTCCGGAACTCTGCTGTCATACGTGACGACGCAAAGGCACGGAAATAACGAATGTGATAATCGATATCTAACAACCGATACGATTTCTCGACGATTCGAAGAGATTAGAAAAGATTACTACCTTCCCAAATCGAGCAGGCTGTCCAAGATGTTGACGGCCCTTCCGCTGTGCGAAGTAGTCATCGATTTTCGAATTCCCGGATTACCCGGGTGAATAAGTAGAACCAGGACAACGCCAAGGACAGCATTCAGCAATGACGTGAGTATAAAGTATACCAAAGTTCGAACAGCGATCATACCGTTCATCCTTGCGTTCAAACTGGCAGAGCCTGAAAGTTAATTGCATTTCTTAAGTATAGTTTCTCCAAGTATTCCTGCCAATATTCTTTTATGATGATAAAATAAAAATACTTTCTTCGCTGTCTTGCTCAAAATATAAATTGACCCTTTGGACTATAATTATTTTCTTACAAGGGGAACGTCTGACCTTCGGAACACTGATTGGTAGGGGCCCGAAAAACTAATAATTTTCTACTTATTTTAATTACAGAAAGTTGTCTGTTTACCAGATATAAGGCTGGCGATCACCAGTGGCAAGATCATCAGCTTCAACAACCTCATGAACAGTTCTCCAGGATAACTGATTAACATAACTGCGTCATCGCCGAGGTTCAGGGGTCGCAGACCGAACCCTGAAAAAAACAATGAGATTACAAGTATAACAGCTGCTTTTAGAAGGCTTAAAGCTATTCAAGGTGAGAGCGAGCAAATGACGCAATAAGATGTCCTGCTCCTAAAATCTGACCACATTAATATTCATTTTATATTGAAGAAGCAAATGATTAAGGGTATTTTTAGTCTTTAAGGGTATTTGAAGGAAATAAATCAAATCGTCAATAGGGTGTAAACAGGTCAAGTTATAGAAGAGATTGCTTTATCGACGTGTATGCGCGAAACAGATGAAAGCTTTCCGTCGAAACTGTTGCATAATTGAGTAACTAATAGGAACGATTTGCATAGATTTAAAGACATCACGTAAACTCCTTTCAAGAGGACGTTTTATCGTTCGGATAATAGGAAAGCTACTATGTCGGAATTAAAATAGGCTGAAAGAACGAACGAAACAGTAAATGAAAGCACGTCGACGGCTCTCGACGTGTTTGAAAAACGGTTCGCTTTTCAACGTATCTTTACGTCAAGGTTGAATTGTACAGATGAAACTTTCGTTTCAAGGTTGATTGATCCTTTGGACTACGTGGAGGCACGTTAATTAGATGATACTTTTGAAGGAAACCTCTTGCCTATCATTGACACCTTTTAACGGGATAACGTGGTTACCGATTTTACGTAACCAACGTTAATTTCAATGTGGGTCGTTCCCGTTGATCGTAAGCGAAACCTATCCCATGCATGTTCCCTGTTCGTCTGTCGACTCAAGTTCAAGACAACCGATCGTTCCTTAAGAAATTAATCGTCTCACCGCGATGGTTACACAGCAGGAAGAACGTCATCGAAAGACGTACATACTATACGGTATTTCATAACGAGTGATGCAAAGGGTGTGTCATGTCACTGTCGATGCGTTTTACCCTGTTCTTATATAAATTTTAGTTGATTGATATTTATTACGTCTATGGTTAAATCATGAGTCAATAACACTTGCGATTCGGCGCCTACCACCTTGTGGGGGCGTTCGGTGCGCGGCTTATCGTTCAACTCATAATCACTAAATTGAAATTTCTGGAAGCACTTTCTACGTGTACGTTTTCATGTAAACGGTAAGAAAAATAAGTGCTTAAGTACTATTACCACATAGGATACTAATATAATAATAACGAAATATAAAATTTCCCAGTCTTTTAACGAGTTGCAGTTGTTATAAAATAGCTCGCGTTTCATAATTACGAAGCCCTGATCGTAAAATAGCATACATAACTGACAATGAGTCATTAGCTACACGTGCATGATATTTGTACACGTGATATGGGAGGACATGTTGTGTCAATAAAAAAGCACAATAGAAAAAAGAGTGGAAAGTTATCTTGTCCGTGGTTTGTCATTGATTTAATAGCACCATTGTTGTGAAAAATAAGATCGGCTCGTATCGGATGAACTCGACCTTGGCACGCTTCCCCGTAATGGACGAAAGCGTAGGCTGCTTTTGGCACGATGTAATCGTTATCTAGGATACGTAACGTATCTGGAAATTCTCCTATACAGTTTTTCGCTACATTTACATGTATTCAAAATGAACATTCATGAAAGTTTCATGAGTTGGTCCATCTAGAGGGCAATGTTATCCTTTCCTCTCCCTTTGGCTCCGCCACGCACTCCGGCTGACATTTACTTGGCATATCGTCGATGAGTTCATCAAGGAATCAGGTCAACGCGTTCATCAGAATATTTCAACGCGTGAACGAATAAATACAAGTTGACGTTGAGATTAATTGTAAAATTGATGGGTACTTACCAAGTAACACGCCAAACATCACGCCGGATAAGGTGACCACGAGGAGAAGATTCTCCCTGATGAACTTCCTGGTGTCGGCGGTCACCTTACGGGGACCCTGAGAGGCCGACACGTCCTGGCCGTCCATCTTGGCGAACAGATAGTCGGAGAACCGAGCCGAGGATTTCTCCTCCATTTCACTGGGCCGCCAGTAAGCGGCGTAGGTGGTGCTGGTGGAGCCGGTCGTGCACGAGGAGGCCGATCCTCTGGGCGATCGGCCGGCCGATCCTGCCAAGCTCCCTTCTCGCGATCTCTCGCGGCTAGCGGCGGGGCCCCGGCAGCACCACGACGACGACGGGTTGCCGTTTTGGGGGTGTTTCGGGAAATCCGTGCGGAACGAGCAATCACGCGCTCCCACCAGACGTCCCAATAGCCTGACGGCTTTTCTGGAACTCGGTATCTCGATCGTGGTCCCCAGCTGCCACTCGACTTTTCACCGATCCAATACCACGTATACGTTTCGCTATTTCACCCGTTCGAATACCCACTGCTAACCAGATTCCTACTGGATCCTACAGTTAGCTTACGAAGAACCGACGATCACAACGAAGATGGAGGTGGTAGGAAGATTCCTTGGAAGAAAAGTTGGCGATCGATGTTCGTGTCGAGGTCACCGGTCTCTTCGAGTGTTCCGAGTTGATTCAGCCTGAACGTTCGCGCTGTTGCACAGGGTCAGTTACCTCGCAGAGCTGCCACTTTGCACCTTGTCGCGATATCGTCGTTCGTGTATGCACACGAAAACTCGAGCTCGCGTGTCCTTTCTTCATGGAACGACCAAGAATCGATCGTCCAGCCACTCTACCAGCCACTTGAGAAAACTACTAACAGAAAGTGTATGTGGCCTGAATTTCGATGCTCGTTTAATTTCTCGATGCGTTTATCGCGAAGGACGAGCCCCAACTGGCCGGTTACTGGCGGACATATACGTATTGATTTGCTGACGCACCTCTTTCCCCTACGACCCCTCGTCGCTTTCACAGGCTGAACAGCAGAAGCAGATGACGCTTGCGCGAACTCCGGTGGCTAAGTCGGTCGCCTGAAACGAGGATTGTGCACTGACACCGATGATATTGTCGTTCGATCGTGCATCACGAGCAACGGTCAGAGGGGAAAAGTACAAAGGGGTCGAGATAAAGGAGTCGAAAGCTTTGACACCTAAAAAAAAAAAAAAAAATAAGAGCTGAATATGTAACGTTTCAAAGCACGAAGGATCCTTCTGCCGGATGAAAATGCATTTTCATTGCTAGAGAATCAGAGAGAAATCTGGAAACGAAATCTCTTGTTCCCAGGCCCGTTTAATTTTTCCACTCGAATGTCCTGCTTTTCTCGAGCGTTCTCGTTTAGAGATCAAACTTTCGCTGCATAAAAGTGATTAGACTAATAGAATGCAACAATAGAAATGTATTTAAACAATCAGAAAGAATACATCATTTCTGGAGTAAATTTCAGAATATTTTGGTCGCTATTGGGAACGTGTACGTATTGAACGAAGCGCGAAGTAGTACGAGGCTGACTTTCAGGGAAACGACCCGATAACTGTCCGACCGAGAACGTAGAGGATCTACTTGCGTCTGACCATAACGGCTCTTACTACTGACGGAGTTGCTGATTGTTGAAAGCAGCAAGAGATGGAAGCACCAGACTGTCGCAATAATTTATGCGACTATTATTTTTCATAACAATTGCGTTTAACGTTAAAAAAGAAATATAAAGCTTCGAAAATATTTCGCTCTCCTAATATCAACTATTTTAAAATCATACTATATTTCATGTTATTCGTCATATTTTTCACGTTCCTCTTCTCGATTAAACGATAACACCTGTGGTGCTGTTCACGTACCAAACATGACCCCTGACAAACGATTCTTCTCTTATTCGCACGTGAATCTCTCTTATTATTAGATGCCAGTTCCCCTGTCATGCTTGTATGATAAATGTTCCTCTCGAAATGCGTGAATTAGACGAACGATTGACGAAGAATTCTGCCGTGGAACGGTATCGATGGACAGGGGGTCATCGTTGTTGAATAATGGAAGGCAACTCCTCGTCGCAGATCGTTCCGGTGAAGCGATGCCGGAGTTGGATCTCATCCTGCTCGTAAATAATATATGACCGTGAACGTAACACCGAGAGCAGCATCTATATGAGAAGCCTTTATTTATCGGCTTCTTTGAACGTATACATCTTCCTGTTCCACATCTTTCTTCCTACAAGGAATGGTCACGCATTCGCACCCTGATCGTTCGAGGTAACGTTACAACGTTTCCTTCCTCCTACTTCTTTTACCTTTAGTTTTCCCTCTATAACGAACATAGAGGAAAAGCAGGTAAGATTAGAATAAGAATGAATGACAATCCGTGGATCTCATTACGAGAAGAGAATAGCGAACGAACGACGAACAGATTGAATTTGTATGTGGAGCAAACGAGAGCGGTATTGAGCAAGCTACTAACGGAAGAAGGAGAAACGAACAGGTGAATCCTTGTGATCGGATTGTCGTCACGTTCTACTACGCATACACGTACCTACCTACATAGGTGTAAGCGGATCAAAACATGAATGAGGATCACAAGACTGTTCTAATGAAGCAGTGGCAAAAACTGCCTAGGAACGCGAGATTCAGCTGATTGAAAGTTGTAAAAAACTCGAATTACCTGTATTCTTGCAGAAATCGGCCGATTAAGGCTACGAACGGAGAAGTGTACAAAATAGAGCTACGTTTACCTCAAGTCGAATTTACTTTCTCCAAGTGCTGTAAAATTATTTCCGGTCTGACCTTTCATACATGTTAATGTAGTAATTTAACAGCGTCAGTTGGCAAATCTTTACAAACCGTTGCAATGTAGGTTGAAAAATATGAATGTACGTTAGGTACATACATAGAAAGAAAAATACTTGACATATCGGATTGCTGGACCGCAATTCCAGGAATTCTCTCTTTTCAACTCAAGATTCAAATAACTACGCCTACATACATATGTACATTAAACAAATATTTAATAATGTGGCAACGAGCGTACGCTCGTGTATTACCTCTCTGAGATATCACTACTCTGTAACGAATCTAATCGTAAATTTAATTTCCTTCGACAGTGAACACCAAACAGACAAGCCAAATTTAATAATCAGCCAGCAACAGTCGATACAGGGAATGACGTTGTTGTTTCATATTTCCCTCGTATCGTCTGAACCATAACGCTATGCCCTATTGTTTACTCGCGAACTGGTAAATCGCTTTAACGAACACAAACAGGGTGTAATTACGAGGACAAAGGCGATCTAGGCGCGAACCCTTGAACGCTGCCTGTTCTTCGCCATTAATCTTCCTTTACCTTTATCCCTGATACATATAGCTTGCAACGGCGAAGCCGATTAAATAGCCTTACAGAAAATACAGTATCAGGGTCCCATATTGCAATTTTACATTCCCGAGTGATTCGTCGGATAGGGGAACAGAAGATAAGACGTACCGCAACTCCTACAATGTCAATTACACTTGCGTTTAATTAAGGTTTCATCTTGTGTCGAATTATACAGAGACTTCCAGAGCGAAGATGACTGATTCAGGGCGCAGAGGTGCTGGCAATTACTTATCTCGTTGATCGATAACGCTTCTTACAAAGATATAAGAGGGTATCCCAAAAAGGTTGATCGGTTCCATTCCCTAATCCAGACTTAAGACAGACTTAAACTTGAAATCTGACAAAAGTTTCTCGATTTAGATTTCAGCAACATTTGAGCTCGGCAACTTGTCGAACACCGTGGATACGGATCGGGGACAGATCGGTAAGGTGGGACACAATGAACGTAAAAAATAGGAAAAGGCGTGAAGCAGAGGGTGGGAAAGGAAACTGGCCCGAGTAAAGTAGATTTAAGAATCGCGTCCGCTGTTGCTCGTCAGAATCGCCTGGAGCTTGAATAGAAGTCGGAACTGTGGTGAAGACAAGGGCCATTATGTCGGCACGTAAAGCGACGTCAGCCAAAGCTCGAGTGTCCGTTCTTTCTTGCATCTCCCTTTCTTTCTTCCATTCTTTCTCTCCTTCTTTTATGATGTCGCGCTAGTTCGTACAGTAGCGCCCTTCCTTCTGTTCTTCACCTATTTTCCTTTTCTTTCTGTCGAATCACCCGCCTTCCCTAGGTCACCAGGCTATTCCCACACATGCTAGATAGATACCTGTGAACCTTTGAAACTTCCCTCAAAACTGCCTCAAAAGATGCATCCCCGTCTGAAAGAGAATATTTCTTAATTTACCTCGTTCGCGTTCGATGCTTCCAGGAGAATCGTAATTAAATTTGTCGAGCGTAGATAATTGCTTTCCAACCAAGAAAGAAAAACCTCCTATTTCCTGCTTATTCGACTCTGCAACCGTACAATTGTCGGGGTTATTTCGAATGCACCGCTTCTGAAACTATGTAAATTTGTTCGGTTGTTGAAATTTCTTCGTGCTACGGGCGTAATTGAGCCTGTTTTTTAAAGTTTCAGGATTGTTCTATCCCGTTCCGTTCTTAACGCAAGCTTTCTTTACGTTTACGTCCGCTGAGATCGATCGAGTTTCTTGAAAACTTCGAGTTCGACTTCAGTGCTCGACCGATTGCAGCAGCAACTCTTTCAGGTTGCGAAAAGTCACGTTCCATCAATTAAACCAACCAGCTAATAACCGATCGTCGATCATTCTGTTTACCTTGAACAGCTTTCCCTAACGAGTCATGCACGAAGACGCGATGAAGTTTAATGTCGTTATTCTAACGAGACCGGTTAATTTATTTGCTGAATAAATCAATGTGAAACGTTTAGCCTGTGCAAGTGAAATAATCGGATGAATAATGAAGGCATCAACCGTTAGGAAGATTCTTTGCAACACTGTTCCTGATGGAAAGAATTATCTGGCTACAGCAGCGAAATGCATCTTCCTGAAGATGGTGTTTGTTATCAAGTAGCCATAGATTGCTACGGAGAAGATATTGTTGTTGCTACAATAACGTTTCAACGTTAGGCGCGGGAAATGCATACACCCTCCGTATCTGCATGCAACGTGTTCTAATTCACGCTACGTTTGATAAGCAATAAATTACGCCGACGTTTTCCGTTGAAAGCGGAACAAAGATCGCGTTCAACAAGTGTAGCATGCGAGAAATTGCTTTCAGAAAAGATGAACTGTTTACGATGAGATGAACTCTTTTCCATCCTATTTTTCTGTCGGTTGTATATTTTAAAGGTAAATGTACACGAACAGACAGTGTTCCTTTTCATAAGACAACGCAATTTCGAATCTCAAACA